ATCTACGGATGGAACAAATCAAGAACTTTGGCCCAAAAGCAAGGCGCTGGCTGCTGGAGCTGATGAACAACTGCACGGCATCCTGTCAGATCCCCAAAATCTGGAGGAAAGCAAGAGTCATCGCCATCTTGAAGCCAGGCAAAGACCGTCATCACCCAAAAAGCTATAGACCAATCTCCCTGTTGTGCCACCTCTACAAAGTTCGAGAGAGACTTATTTTGCATAGAATTATAGAAAATATAGACCCCTGTCTGATCCCACAGCAAGCTGGCTTCAGAAAAGGCAAAAGCTGCACATCGCAAATGATGAACCTGACCCAGCACATAGAAGATGGCTTTGAAAGGCAGCAGATCACAGGAGGTGTCTTCATAGACTTGTCAGCAGCCTATGAGACTGTGAACCACCATTGCCTCCTCCTGAGAAAAATGTATAACATCACAAAGGACGACCACCTCACCCTCTTCATAGGAAACCTGCTACAAAACAGGAGCTTTTTTGTTGAGTTCCAGGGCCAGAGAAGCAGATGGCGGAAACAGAAGAACGGCCTGCCTCAGGGGAGCGTGCTTGCTCCATCCATGTTCCACATCTACACAAATGACCAGCCACTGCCAGAAGGGACAGAGAGCTTCATCTATGCTGATGATTGTGCCATCACCGCTCAAGCAGGGAGCTTTGAGATGGTAGAACATAAGCTCTCCAAAGCTCAAGGTGCTCTTACTGCCTATTTCAGGGAAAACCAGCTGATCCTTAACCCATCTAAAACACAGACATGTGCTTTTCATCTCAAGGACAGACAAGCATCCCGAGCTCTGAGGATATTACCTGGGAAGGAAGGAATCCCACTGGAGCATTGCAGCACACCCAAATACCTGGGAGTCACTCTGGACCGTGCTCTACCTACAAGAAGCACTGCCTGATCATCAAGCAAAAAGTGGGTGCTAGAAACAATATCATACGAAAGCTGACTGGCACAACCTGGGGATCACAACCAGACACAGTGAAGACATCTGCCCTTGCGCTATGCTTCTCTGCTGCTGAGTACGCATGCCCAGTGTGGAACACATCTCACCACACTAAAACAGTGGATGTGGCTCTTAATGAGACATGCCACATTATCACGGGGTGTCTGCGCCCTACACCACTGGAGAAATTACACTGCTTAGCCGGTATTGCACCACCTGACATCCGCCGGGAAGGAGCAGCCAATAGTGAAACGACCGAAGGGAGAGACATCTCCAGCTCATCCCCTGTTTGGGTATCAGCCAGCATGTCAATGACTTAAATCAAGAAATAGTTTTCTAAGATCTACAGAGACACTTGCTGGAACACCTCAGCAAGCGAGAGTCCAAAAGTGGCAGGCTCAAAACCAGAACCTCAACCAATGGCTGCTCCCCCCTGGGTACACAGAAGACGGGGTGACTTGGAAGGCACTGAACAGACTGCGCTCTGGCACCACCAGATGCAGAGCCAACCTCAAGAAATGGGGCCACAAAGTGAAATCCACGTCATGCGAGTGTGGAGAGGAGCAAACCACTGACCACCTGCTGCAATGCAACCTGAGCCCTGCCACACGCACAAGGGAGGACCTTCTTGCAGCAACTCCAGAGGCACTCCAAGGGGCCAGATACTGGTCAAAGGACATCTAATCAACTACCATGCTTGCAAATTTTGTGTTTTGTCTGCTTGTTTGTTTTGTTCTGTTAGAAATGTAATACAATTGACTGGTTGCCCTGACAGGACAAATAAATAAAATAAATGGCTGAACAAAAATTGATGCTAGGTTCGGGCTCAAAGTAAGTGCAATGGTTTTTAAATAGAGCCAAAGGAAAGGGAAAAATTCAAGAGGGCCGGGCTAGAAGGGCAATGCCCTAAGCTATTAAAGTGTCAAGATTTCAGGAAAGAGAGCCAAATTAAAGTGCAGGAGCTTAGGTAAGGTCAACAAAACTCTTCCTCTTTGATTGCCCACTAACGCCCCACTCCCTTATCTTGTCCATGTCCAGCATTATTTTTAAATTTTGATGACATTTGGCCTAGCCACAGATTTTAAAGGTGTGTTGTGTTATTGTTAATGTTCATGCTATTCTGTATGTGATTTATTTTAATTGCTTGTATTGTGGTTGTTATTGCTTGTATTGATGTATTGTGGGCTCGGCCTCATGTAAGCCGCACCGAGTCCCTTGGGGAGATGGTAGCGGGGTAGAAATAAAGTGCTATTATTATTGTTATTATTATTGTATTGTCGAAGGCTTTCATGGCTGGAATCACTGGGTTCTTGTAGGTTTTTTCGGGCTGTATGGCCATGTTCTAGAGGCATTTCATAGAATCATAGAATCAAAGTTGGAAGAGACCTCACGGGCCATCATCCAGTCCAACCCCATTCTGCCAAGAAGCAGGAATTTTGCATTCAAATCACCCTTGACAGATGGCCATCCAGCCTCTGTTTAAAAGCTTCCAAAGAAGGAGCCTCCACCACACTCCGGGCAGAGAGTTCCACTGCTGAACGGCTCTCACAGTCAGGAAGTTCTTCCTCATGTTCAGATGGAATCTCCTCTCTTGTAGTTTGAAGCCATTTTTCCGCATCCTAGTCTCCAAGGAAGCAGAAAACAAGCTTGCTCCCTCCTCCTCCCTGTGGCTTCCTCTCACATATTTATACATGGCTATCATATCTCCTCTCAGCCTTCTCTTCTTCAGGCTAAACATGCCCAGCTCCTTAAGCCGCTCCTCATAGGGCTTGTTCTCCAGAACCCTTGATCATTTGAGTCGCCCTCCTCTGGACACATTCCAGCTTGTCAATATCTCTCTTGAATTGTGGTGCCCAGAATTGGACACAATATTCCAGATGTGGTCTAACCAAAGCAGAATAGACGGGTAGCATTACTTCCTTAGATCTAGACACTATGCTCCTATTGATGCAGGCCAAAATCCCATTGGCTTTTTTTGCCGCCACATCACATTGTTGGCTCATGACGTTTCGCCTGCATCTATGGCAAGCATCCTCAGAGGTAGTGAGGTCTGTTGGAATTAGGAGAATGGGTTTATATATCTGTGGAATGACTGGGGTGGGGCACAGAAATGCTGGACCACTGCAACAACCACCATGTCAGACTACACAGAGAAGCCACTGAAATCCACAAGAAGCATGTGGACAAAAGATTGCCCCAGGCACACAGAGAGATGGGCCAAAACTAACAAAATGAAGTTCAACAGTGACAAATGCAAGATACTCCACTTTGGCAGGAAAAATGAAATGCAAAGATACAGAATGGGGGACAATGCCTGGCTCGAGAGCAGTACGTGTGAAAAAGATCTTGGAGTCCTCGTGGACAACAAGTTAAACATGAGCCAACAATGTGATGTGGCGGCAAAAAAAGCCAATGGGATTTTGGCCTGCATCAACAGGAGCATAGTGTCTAGATCTAAGGAAGTCATGCTCCCCATGCTCTATTCTGCTTTGGTTAGACCACATCTGGAATATTGTGTCCAATTCTGGGCACTACAATTCAAGAGAGATATTGACAAGCTGGAATGTGTCCAGAGGAGGGCGACTAAAATGATCAAGGGTCTGGAGAACAAGCCCTATGAGGAGCGGCTTAGGGAACTGGGCATGTTTAGCCTTAAGAAGAGAAGGCTGAGAGGAGATATGATAGCCATGTATAAATATGTGAGAGGAAGCCACAGGGAGGAGGGAGCAAGCTTGTTTTCTGCTTCCCTGGAGACTAGGACGCGGGAACAATGGCTTCAAACTACAAGAGAGGAGATTCCATCTGAACATGAGGAAGAACTTCCTGACTGTGAGAGCCGTTCAGCAGTGGAACTCTCTGTGTGGTGGAGGCTCCTTCTTTGAAGCTTTTAAACAGAGGCTGGATGGCCATCTGTCAGGGGTGATTTGAATGCAATATTCCTGCTTCTTGGCAGGGGGTTGGACTGGATGGCCCATGAGGTCTCTTCCAACTCTTTGATTCTATGATTCTATGAATTTCACAGAAAGGAAGAGACCATGAAAATGAACAAAATCTGGCTACCAGTATTAAAAAACTCTAAAATTACTACAGCAAAACAGCAGAGAGGAAACAACCAGGCACATCTTAACACCTCTCAACAGAACATTTTCCCAGGCTCAGCCAAGCCTTCAAATGCTAATGAAGGTGGTCAGCTGAAACATTCACACCTAGCTTCAGCAGAGAAGAGCTCTTTGCCCCACCCCAGTCATTCCACAGATATATAAACCCATTTTCCTATTTCCAACAGACCTCACTACCTCTGAGGATGCTTGCCATAGATGCAGGCGAAACGTCAGGAGAAATGCCTCTAGAACATGGCCCTAGAGCCCGAAAAAACCCACAAGAACCTAGTGATTCCAGCCATGAAAGCCTTCGACAATACATGAGAAAGAGACTCCCAGGCACAGATTAACACCTCTCAACAGAACATTTTCCCAGGCTCAGCCAGGCCTTCAAATGCTAATGAAGGTGGTCAGCTGAAACATTCATACCTAGCTTCAGCAGAGAGCTCTTTGCCCCACCCCAGTCATTCCACAGATATATAAACCCATTTTCCTATTTCCAACAGACCTCACTACCTCTGAGGATGCTTGCCATAGATGCAGGCGAAACGTCAGGAGAAATGCCTCTAGAACATGGCCCTATAGCCCGAAAAAACCCACAAGAACCTAGTGATTCCAGCCATGAAAACCTTCGACAATACAGAGGAAACAACCAGGCACAGATTAACACCTCTCAACAGAACATTTTCCCAGGCTCAGGCAGGCCTTCAAATGCTAATGAAGGTGATCAGTTGAAACATTCACACCTAGCTCCAGCAGAGAAGAGCTCCTTGTCCCACCCCAGCCATTCCACAGATATATAAACCCATTTTCCTATTTCCAACAGACCTCACTACCTCTGAGGATGCTTGCCATAGATGCAGGCGAAACGTCAGGAGAAATGCCTCTAGAACATGGCCTATAGCCCGAAAAAACCCACAAGAACCTAGTGATTATTATTATTATTATTATTATTATTATTATTGGTTTCACGAGGGAGGAGACCCTTTGGTCCAGAACTGGGGCAGGCAGAGATTGTAGAAGGAGCTCTCCTCAAAGGACTCGAGTCCCCTCCAAGAAACCCAGCCGCTCGCCTGCAACTCTCTCTTCGGGAGGGAGCCAGCCCTGCCGTAATAGTGCGGATCCAGAACCAGGAGGTGATGCCCTTGGGGGCCGGAGCAGACGCCCAGCAACCCCTTGGAGGAGTTGTCTCGGTCCCCTCCCATCATGACGGGACCCCCGCCTGCCTGGAAATGGTTGTACAAGGTCTCCAGCTGCGTGTCGAGCTCCCGGCCGCAGGGGACGTGGAGCAGCTTGCCCGGAACGGCATAGAAGTGGTCCAGGCACAAAGCCGCTTCCACGGTGCCGATCCAGTCCTTGGAGCCGGCAAAGGAAGGGGGCTTGTCCCCCATCTCAACCAGGGAGGCCTGGATTTCCGTCAAGGAAGGCACTGGGCGGGGATCAATGTGTTGCTGGTCGGCCGAGGCCACCAGCCAGGAGCACAACGTCTGCAGTGTCCGGTAGCCGCACCCCCAGCCTCGGTCATCCAGGCCGTCACAGCCGTAGTGGAAGTAGAGGCAGGAGCCGGAGACGAGGGACACACGACGAGGAGAGCCGGGAAAGGGCAAACCCCGGTGGACGTCCAACAGCAAGGACATCTTCCTCAAGAGGCAGGCCTGCGCATGGAATAGAATCAGAGAGAATAGAATAGAATCAGAGAGGGTCACCTAGTCTGACCCCCAACACACAATCCAAGCCTTCCCAACAGATAGCCATCCAAACTCCAGAGAAGGAGACTCCCAGGCAGTAGCAAATTCTACCATGTCTAATTGTCAGGAAGATCTTCCTAATGGGTTGTTGTAGGTTTTTTCGGGCTCCCCCAACACACAATCCAAGCCTTCCCAACAGATAGCCATCCAAACTCCAGAGAAGGAGACTCCCAGGCAGTAGCAAATTCTACCATGTCTAATTGTCAGGAAGATCTTCCTAATGGGTTGTTGTAGGTTTTTTCGGGCTCCCCCAACACACAATCCAAGCCTTCCCAACAGATAGCCATCCAAACTCCAGAGAAGGAGACTCCCAGGCAGTAGCAAATTCTACCATGTCTAATTGTCAGGAAGATCTTCCTAATGGGTTGTTGTAGGTTTTTTCGGGCTCCCCCAACACACAATCCAAGCCTTCCCAACAGATAGCCATCCAAACTCCAGAGAAGGAGACTCCCAGGCAGTAGCAAATTCTACCATGTCTAATTGTCAGGAAGATCTTCCTAATGGGTTGTTGTAGGTTTTTTCGGGCTCCCCCAACACACAATCCAAGCCTTCCCAACAGATAGCCATCCAAACTCCAGAGAAGGAGACTCCCAGGCAGTAGCAAATTCTACCATGTCTAATTGTCAGGAAGATCTTCCTAATGGGTTGTTGTAGGTTTGTTCGGGCTCCCCCAACACACAATCCAAGCCTTCCCAACAGATAGCCATCCAAACTCCAGAGAAGGAGACTCCCAGGCAGCAGCAAATTCTACCATGTCTAATTGTCAGGAAGATCTTCCTAATGGGTTGTTGTAGGTTTTTTCGGGCTCCCCCAACACACAATCCAAGCCTTCCCAACAGATAGCCATCCAAACTCCAGAGAAGGAGACTCCCAGGCAGTAGCAAATTCTACCATGTCTAATTGTCAGGAAGATCTTCCTAATGGGTTGTTGTAGGTTTGTTCGGGCTCCCCCAACACACAATCCAAGCCTTCCCAACAGATAGCCATCCAAACTCCAGAGAAGGAGACTCCCAGGCAGCAGCAAATTCTACCATGTCTAATTGTCAGGAAGATCTTCCTAATGGGTTGTTGTAGGTTTTTTCGGGCTCCCCCAACACACAATCCAAGCCTTCCCAACAGATAGCCATCCAAACTCCAGAGAAGGAGACTCCCAGGCAGTAGCAAATTCTACCATGTCTAATTGTCAGGAAGATCTTCCTAATGGGTTGTTGTAGGTTTGTTCGGGCTCCCCCAACACACAATCCAAGCCTTCCCAACAGATAGCCATCCAAACTCCAGAGAAGGAGACTCCCAGGCAGTAGCAAATTCTACCATGTCTAATTGTCAGGAAGATCTTCCTAATGGGTTGTTGGGTTGTTTAGGGCTATATGGCTATGGTCTAGAAGCATTCTCTCCTGACCTTTCGCCTGTATCTATGGCAAGCATCCTCAGAGGTAGTGAGGTCTGTTGGAACTAGGAAAAAGGGTGGAATGACTGGGGTGGGACAAAAGACTCTTGTCTGCTGGATCTTCCTAATGTTTAGGTCAGCCGTAGGCCAACTTCTTCCCACCAGCCAGGTGTTTTGGACTTCAACTCCCGCAATGTGGGTATGCAGATGATCCCTTGATGGGGGTTCCAAGAGGTCAAAGGCATGGGCCAACTTTGGCCTTCCCTCCAAGTGTTTTGGACTCCAACTCCCACAATTCCTAACGGCCAGTAGGCCGTTAGGAATTGTGGGAGTTGGAGTCCAAAACACTTGGAGGGAAGGCCAAAATTGGCCCATGGCTGTAAATCTAGATGAAGAGGAATTGTGGGAATTGAAGTCCAAAACACCCAGAGGGATGAAATTTGCCCATGCCTGCATTACCCTATGCAACACAGTTTTTGTTCCTGGGTTATAAAGGCCTGATTCTGGCAGCCCAAGAACAAGCCATTCGAACCAAGGCCATCAAAGCCGGAATTGAAAAGTCGACAACAGATCCCAAGTGTAGACTCTGCAAGGAAGCAGGTGAAACAACAGATCCCATTCTCAGCTGCTGCAAGAAGATTGCGCAGACAGACTCCAAGCAGAGGCACAACACTGTTGCTCAGATGATTCACTGGAACTTGTGCCACAAACGCCATCTGCCTGCAACAAAGAACTGGTGGGATCACAAGCCGGGAAATATTATTATTATTATTATTATTATTATTATTATTATTATTATTATTATTATTATTATACGGAAACAGAAGAACGGCCTGCCTCAGGGGAGCGTGCTTGCTCCATCCATGTTCAACATCTACACAAATGACCAGCCACTGCCAGAAGGGACAGGGAGTTTCATCTACGCTGATGATCGTGCCATCACTGCTCAAGCAGGGAACTTTCAGATGGTAGAACAAAAGCTCTCCGAAGCTCTAGGTCAGTGTTTCTCAACCTTCCTAATGCCGTGACCCCTGAATCCAGTCCCTCATGTTGTGGTGACCCCCAACCATAATATTGTTTTCGTTGCTACTTCACAACTGTAATTTTACTACTGTTATAAATCATAATGTAAATATCTAATATGCAGGATGCATTTTCATTTACTGGACCAAACTGGCCACAAATACCCAATACACCCAAATGTGAATGCTTGTGGGGTTGGGGGAGGATTGATTTTGTAATTGGGAGTTGTAGTTGCTGGGATTTATAGTTCACTTATAATCAAAGAGTATTCTGAACTCCACCAGCGATGGATTTGAACCAAATTTGGCTCCCATGACCAATGGAAAACACTGGAAGGGTTTGATGGGCATTGACCTTGAGTTTGGGAGTTATAGTTCACCTATATCCAGAGAGCACTATGGACTCATGCAATGGTGGATCTGGACCAAACTTGGCACGAATACTTCATATGCCCAAATGTAAACACTGGTGGAGTTTGGGGAAAATAGAATCTTAACATTTGGGAGTTGTAGTTGCTGGGATTTATAGTTCACCTACAATAAAAGAGCATTGTGAACCCTACCAACAATAGAATTGGGCCAAACTTCCCACACAGAACCCCCATGACCAACAGAAAACACTAGAAGGGTTAGGTGGGCACTGACCTTGAGTTTTGGAGTTGTAGTTCACCTGCATCCAGAGAGCAGTGTGGACTCAAACAATGATGGATCTGGACCAAACTTGGTACGAATACTCACTATGCCCGAATGTAAACACTGGTGGAGTTTGGGGGAAATAGACCTTGACATTTGGGAGTTGTAACTGCTGGGATTTATAGTTCACCTACAAACAAAGATCATTATGAACCCCACCAATGATGGAATTCAATCATACTTGGCACACAGAACTCCCATGACCAACAGAAAATACTGGAAGAGTTTGGTGGGAATTGACCTTGAGTTTGGGAGTTGTAGTTCACCTACATCCAGAGAGCACTGTGAACTCAAACAATGATGGATCTGGACCAAACTTGGTACGAATACTCACTATGCCCGAATGTAAACACTGGTGGAGTTTGGGGAAAACAGACCTTGACATTTGGGAGTTGTAGTTGCTGGGATTTATAGTTCTCCCACAACCAAAGAGTATTCTATACCCCACCAACAATAGAATTGGGCAGAACCCTTGTTCTCACAACCAAGACCTCCCTTCTCCCACCCTTCCTCAAACCCACCTCCTCCTCCTTCTCTTCCTCCTGGCCCTCTAGGAAGCTCCAACCATAGAGAGAGAGTGAGAGAGGCCCTCTTCCGGAGTGGCCTCTCAACCATAGAGAGAGGACTTATTCCGGAAGTGACCTCACGAAGGCGCAGCGGCCATCTTTAGCCTGGGCACTGGCTCCCCCGGAAGTCGTGTGAACAGCCCACTTGGGATTGGAAGGGACGCCCAAAGGAAATGGCTTTCTCCAAAGGAGGAGGAGGCCTCTCTTGCTCTCCCTCTCCCATGATGAAAAGTGTTGATGGATCTAAGGAAAGGGATTGTTTACTTACTCCTCAGGGTGGGTCCATAGGGGATTGTGGAGCCCTCTTCTTGACCTGCATCTTCCATCAGTTTCCAGGTGGAAGGTGATCCCAGTTGGGGTTGGCTTGATGCACCTTCCTCTTGGCACATTTCTCTCTTTCACCCTCCATTCGTGCCTCTTCAAATTCTGCGGCACTGCTGGTCACAGCTGACCTCCAGCTGGAGCGCTCAAGGGCCAGGGCTTCCCAGTTCTCAGTGTCTATGCCAGAGTTTTTAAGGTTGGCTTTGAGCCCATCTTTCAATCTCTTTTCCTGCCCAACAACATTCCGTTTTCCATTCTTGAGTTCAGAGTAGAGCAACTGCTTTGGGAGACGATGGTCGGGCATCCGGACAACGTGGCCGGTCCAGAGGAGTTGATGGCAGAGGACCATCGCTTCAATGCTGGTGGTCTTTGCTTCTTCCCCGCCTGTCTTCCCAAGAGATTTGCAGGATTTTCCAGAGACAGCGCTGATGGAATCATTCCAGGAGTTGCATGTGACATCTGTAGACAGTCCACGTTTCGCAGGCATATAGCAGAGTTGGGAGGACAATAGCTTTATACACAAGCCCCTTGGTTTCCCTACAGATAATAATAATAATAATAATAATATAATAATAATAATAAAACTTTATTTATACCCCGCTACCATCTCCCCCATGGTATTCCCTGTAGTAACCTATGGATGTGAGAGCTGGACCTTCGGGAAGGTTGAGCGAAGGAAGATCGATGCTTTTGAACTGTGGTGTTGGAGGAAAGTTCTGAGAGTGCCTTGGACTGCGAGAAGATCCAACCAGTCCATCCTCCAGGAAATAAAGCCCGGCTGCTCACTGGAGGGAAGGAGACTAGAGACAAAGTTGAAGTCCTTTGGCCACATCATGAGGAGACAGCAAAGCCTAGAGAAGACAATGATGCTGAGGAAAGTGGAAGGCAAAAGGAAGAGGGGCCGACCAAGGGCAAGATGGATGGATGGCATCCTTGAAGTGACTGGACTGACCTTGAAGGAGCTGGGGGTGGTGACGGCCGACAGGGAGCTCTGGCGTGGGCTGGTCCATGAGGTCACGAAGAGTCGGAGACGACTGAACAAATGAACAACAACAACACCATCTCCCCATGGGACTTGGTGCGGCTTACATGAGGCTGAGCCCACAATAATGCTAGGCATGAACAAGATAAAGGAGATGGGGCATTGATGGAGACATACAAGCAGTCCTAAATCGGTATAAAGTGCTTTGGAGGACATAATGCTAAGGGTTCATTATTCTGGGAAGGCACACTGGAACAACCACGTTTTCAAGCTCCTCTTAAAGACTGCCAGAGTTGGGGCATGCCCGATGTCCCAGTCCTCAAACACTCTCGGCTTCATTTGGAAGAATGCTGTACTCGCAGAGCTCAGGCGGCGTTGTATTTATAAGTGGAGTGCCGCAGGGTTCCGTCCTGGGCCCGGTCCTGTTCAACATCTTTATTAATGCCTTAGATGAAGGGCTAGAAGGCATGATCATCAAGTTTGCAGACGACACCAAATTGGGAGGGATAGCCAATAGTCCAGAGGACAGGAGCAGAATTCAAAACGATCTTGACAGATTAGAGAGATGGGCCAAAACTAACAAAATGAAGTTCAACAGTGACAAATGCAAGATACTCCACTTTGGCAGAAAAAATGAAATGCTAAAGATACAGAATGGGGGACGCCTGGCTCGAGAGCAGTACGTGTGAAAAAGATCTTGGAGTCCTCGTGGACAACAAGTTAAACATGAGCCAACAATGTGATGTGGCGGCCAAAAAAGCCAATGGGATTTTGGCCTGCATCAATAGGAGCATAGTGTCTAGATCTAAGGAAGTAATGCTACCCCTCTATTCTGCTTTGGTTAGACCACACCTGGAATATTGTGTCCAATTCTGGGCACCACAATTCAAGAGAGATATTGACAAGCTGGAATGTGTCCAGAGGAGGGCGACTAAAATGATCAAGGGTCTGGAGAACAAGCCCTATGAGGAGCGGTTTAAGGAGCAGGGCATGTTTAGCCTGAAGAAGAGAAGGCTGAGAGGAGATATGATAGCCATGTATAAATATGTGAGAGGAAGCCACAGGGAGGAGGGAGCAAGCTTGTTTTCTGCTTCCTTTGAGACTAGGACGCGGAACAATGGCTTCAAACTACAAGAGAGGAGATTCCATCTGAACATTAGGAAGAACTTCCTGACTGTGAGAGCCGTTCAGCAGTGGAACTCTCTGCCCCGGAGTGTGGTGGAGGCTCCTTCTTTGGAAGCTTTTAAACAGAGGCTGGATGGCCATCTGTCAGGGGTGATTTGAATGCAATATTCCTGCTTCTTGGCAGGGGGTTGGACTGGATGGCCCATGAGGTCTCTTCCAACTCTTTGATTCTATGATTCTATGATTCTATTTCAGTCTCAATGTTGACGTCTGTAGACAGTCCACATCTTGCAGGCATATAACAGGGTTGGGAGGACAATAGTTTTATAGACAAGCCCCTTGGTCTCCCTACGGATGTCCTGGTTCTCAAACACTCTCTGCTTCATTCGGAAAAACGCTGCACTCGCAGAGCTCAGGTGGTATTGTATTTCGGTGTCGATGTTGACTTTGGTGGAGAGCTGTCTGCCAAGGGAGTGGAAATGGCCCACCAGGTGCTTTGGACTTTGTTTATCAGAGAGCAAATTAAAAAGTTATTTGGGAATTAGGGTGCCTCTACACCAGGCATGGGCAGATTTTCGCCCACCAGGTGTTTTGGACTTCAACTCCCACAATTCCCAGTTGCTGGTAGGCTGTTATGATTTGTGAGAGTTGAAGTCCAAAACACCTGGAGGGCTGAAGTTTGCCCATGCCTGCTCAACACTGTAGAATGCAGTTTGAAACCACGTTAAGTGCCATGGCTCAATGCTATTTGATTCTGCTTCATTCGGAAAAAGGCTGCATTCGCAGAGCTCAGGCGGTGTTGTATTTCAGTGACAATGTTGACTTTTGTGGAGAGGTGGCTGCCAAGGGAGTGGAAATGGTCAGAAATGGACATCAGCCATGCCCCAACTCTGGCAGCCTTTAGGAAGAGCTTGAAAACGTGGTTGTTCCAGTGTGCCTTCCCAGAATAATGAACCCTTAGCATTATGTCCTCTAAAAGCACTGTACACTGATTTAGGACTGCTTGTACATTTCCACCAACGCCCCACCTCCTCTATCTTGTCCATGCCCAGCATTATTTTTTTAACTTAATTTACATTTGGCCCAGCCATAGTTTTAATGTGTGTTGTGCTATTGTTCAATGTTTATGCTATTTGTGTATGAGATTTATTTTAATTGCTTTGTATTTGTATTTTGCTTTGTATTGTGGTTGTTATTGCTCGTATTGATGGATTGTGGGCTCGGCCTCATGTAAGCCGCACCGAGTCCCCTGGGAGATGGTAGCGGGGTATAAATAAAATATTATTATTATTATTATTGGGTTGTTGTAGGTTTTTTCGGGCTATATGGCCATGGTCTAGAGGCATTCTCTCCTGACGTTTTGCCTGCATCTATGGCAAGCATCCTCAGAGGTAGTGAGGTCTGTTAGAACTAGGAAAAAGGCGTTTATATATCTGTGGAATGACCAGGGTGAGACAAAGGACTCTTGTCTGCTGGAGCTAAGTGGGAATGTTTCAACTGACCACCCTGATTAGCATATAATGGCCTGTCAGAGCCTGGAGCAAACTTTTGTTGAGAGGTGATTAGATGCTTGCCATGGACAGAAGCGAAACGTCAGGAGAGAATGCCTCTAGACCATGGCCATATAGCCCGAAAAAATCTACAACAATCCAGTGATTCCGGCCATGAAAGCCTTTGACAATACATTATTATTATTATTATTATTATTATTATTATTATTATTATTATTCAGCTGTATTTCTGGCATTGGAAAGGGATTGGTTGGTGATTGCTGGAAGAGCACTTTGGTTTTCTCAATGTTCAATGACAGGCTGAGCTTCTCGTATGCTTCTGCGAAGGTGTTTAGAGTGGCTTGTAGGTCTTCTTCTGAATGTGCACAGATGATGTTGTCATCAGCATACTTATTCAGCTGTATCTCTGGCATTGGAGAGGGGTTGGCTGGTGAGTGCTGGAAGAGCACTTTGGTTTTCTCAATGTTCAGTGACAGGTCGAGTTTCTCGTATGCTTCTGCGAAGGTGTTTAGAGTGGCTTGTAGGTCTTCATCTGAATGTGCACAGATGATGTTGTCATCAGCATACTTATTCAGCTGTATCTCTGGCATTGGAGAGGGGTTGGCTGGTGACTGCTGGAAGATGACTTTGGTTTTCTCAGTGTTCAATGACAGGCCGAGCTTCTCATATGCTTCTGCGAAGGTGGCTTGTAGGTCTTCTGAATGTGCACAGACAACGTTGTCATCAGCATACTGGAGTTCTATAACAGATGTTGTTGTAACCTTGGTTTTGGCTTTCAGTCTGCTGAGGTTAAACAGCTTGCCATCTGTCCAATAGTTGATTTCCACTCCGGTGGGAAGCTTCCCGTCAACAAGATGAAGTCTCATAGCGATGAAGATGGAAAATAAATTTGGGGCAATAACACATTTCTGTTTGACACCTGATTCCACCTTAAATGGGTCACTTTGGGAGCCATTGCTGTCCAAAACTGTTGTCATCATGGAGGAGTCGCAGGATGTTCACAAATTTGTCAGGGCACCCGATTTTTTGGAGGATGGTCCAGAGAGCGCTGCCATTCACTGTGTCAAATGCCTTTGCAAGGTGAATGGATGCCATGGACAGAGGTTGGTTTTGTTAAGGAAAGTGCACAGTGGCATTATGTATACAGAAAGGCTACTACTAGCACAGGCCTAGCCCAGTTTGGGCTCTCCCTCCAGGTGTTTTGGACTTCAACTCCCACCATTTCTGGCCTCAGGCCCTTTCCTTTTCCCCCTCAGCCACTTAAGCTTGTTACTGCCTGGGGGAATCCTTTGCTGAGAGGCGATTAGCTGTTCCTGATTGTTTCTTGTCTGGAATTTTGTATGTGTGGCTTGTTACTGCCTGGGGGAATCCTTTGCTGAGAGGTGATTAGCTGTTCCTGATTGTTTCTTGTCTGGATTTTTTATGTGTGGCTTGTTACTGCCTGGGGGAATACTTTACTGAGAGATGGTTAGCTGTTCCTGATTGTTTCTTGTCTGGATTTTTTAATGAGTGGCTTGTTACTGCCAGGGGAATCCTTTGCTGAGAGGTAATTAGCTGTTCCTGATTGTTTCTTGTCTGGGATTTTTGATGTGTGCCTTGTTACTGCCTGGGGGAATCCTTTGCTGAGAGGTGATTAGCTGTTCCTGATTGTTTCTTGTCTGGATTTTTTAATGAGTGGCTTGTTACTGCCTGGGGGAATCCTTTGCTGAGAGGTAATTAGCTGTTCCTAATTGTTTCTTGTCTGGAATTCTTTATGTGTGGCTTATTACTGCCTGGGGGAATCCTTTGCTGAGAGGTGATTAGCTGTTCCTGATTGTTTCTTGTCTGGAATTTTTTATGTGTGGCTTGTTACTGCCTGGGGGAATCCTTTGCAATACAATTCCAATGTCCTCTGTGTCTCTCCCCTCGTGTGGTCTGCCCTTCTTGCATTCCAGCCCGTTCACAGCCCAAAAAAGGCAGCCAAGGCCGGGTTGCATGGCCCGTCCCCACCCCTCCTATTTTTTTTTTGGTCGTGTCAGGAGTGACTCCTGGTGTGAGAGAATTGGCCGTCTGCAAGGACGTTGCCCAGGGGACGCCTGGATGATTTGATGTTTTTATCATCCTTGTGGGAGGCTTCTCTCATGTCCCTGCATGAGGAGCTGGAGCTGATAGAGGGAGCTCATCCGCCTCTCCCCGGATTTGAACCTGCGACCTGTCGGTCTTCAGTCCTGCCGACACAGGGGTTTAACCCACTGCGCCACCGGGGGCCCTCCTATGAAAACAGACTGCTCACAACACTGCGATGGTTCACATAAGTCTCACTTTTATTGCCGAGTTCCATTAAAAGTAGAAATCCCCTTCCTTCTCCGAACTACCGAGTTAGTGTTAGTCCCTAAATGCCAGCGGTAGCTCCCCAAAGGAGACAACCACAGCGACCCATTCACACAAAATCCATCCACGCTCACAAACTCTCCCTCCCTCCCTCCCTCCCTGGGGTGATCCACCTTCAGAGGAATGTGACCCCCTTCCCATCGAACCCCAATTAATTTGCTCGTTAATGATTAGTCCAAGCACCTCCAGGGGTGGTTGGGGTGCACTGAAGTGTTGGGGGACAACTCCGTACCCCTTCAGGGACACCCCCTTTCTGGAATCACTGTTAGCAAAGTTAAGGGAAAACGATGGAAAAATCAATGGTTGGGAAAATTAATGGAGACGTCCTTCCCGTCCTCCTGAGACGCACGATTTGCAGGAATTGAGCAAAATGGGGAAAGGAATGGGCAAGAAACAGGGTTTTCTCTGAGGCTGCTCCAAAATCTGTCCATCTATGGTAGGCCTGGGCAAAATTGGGCCCTTTGGGTGTTTTGGACTTCAACTCCCACCATTCCTGGCCTCAGGCCCCTTCCTTTCTCCCCTCAGCCACTTAAACTAGATAATAGATCTAAAAGATGCCTACCTTCATATCCCGACAAATAGCTATAACGCTTAAGCGGCTGAGGGGGAAAAGGAAAGAGCCTGAGGCCAGGAATGGTGGGAGTTGAAGTCCAAAACACCCAGGAGACCCAAGTTTGCCCATACCTGACCTATATCAAAACAATCATTTTTGGAGGATCTCACAGTTTGGGAAACTATGGATTGCAACTCCCCAAATCCATTGCTGAGCTGGCCCGAAGGAAATCTGGACCTGGGAACTGTAGTAAACAAGGCCAGCTATCCTCACAACTTGGACAAGTGCTTTTAGTTATTACTATTACTATTATTATTGGCCTAATAATGGCATCCTGGCCATTGAAGGCCAAAAAAAGGGGGTTACTTTCCTCATCTCTGGACACAGCTTGGAAGATCTGGCCTTCTTTGACTCATGGAAGCATTAGTTAGTGAAGAAAACGGAGCGAGGCACGATTCACCTTCTCTTTTCTTCGTTCTGGCTTAAGGTAAGAAGGCATAAGAACTGTCTTCCTCTAGATCAGGCATGTGCAAACTTTTGGACTTCAACTCCCACAATTCCTAACAGCCGGTAGGAAGTCCAAAACATTTGAAGGGCCCAAGTTTGCCCATGCCTGAGCTAAAACATATTGATTCCCATCAGTTCCAGACAGATGTTGACTCTCCTTAATTGGTGTTGGCAAACGTAAGGAGCCTTATGGTTGACTTCCTTCTTAAACAGACATCAGTTTCCTTAATTTAAAAGAGCTGTTGTCTTTGACCATGTAAACATGTTGTTTCCAACAATAATCAAGTCAGTTGTATCAACAAGACGGCACATGCATCTGTACCAGGCCTGGCCAAACTTTGGCCCTCTAGTTGTTTTGTGTGTGTAATTCATGTATGAAGTGTGTTTAAATGTAATTTTATGTGATAGGATTGTGATTGGAATAGAGTTGTATTGCCAGGATGTAGGTTGACACAGAAGGGTTAAACAGCAACGTAACAAGCTGTGAGAATGTGACCCTGAGTTCTTGCTCTGTGCAAGATTAGGGAGTGCCAGAGATAAACTTCCTTCCAGCTGCAGTTTGCTTTAGTTCCTATCTCTTTCGGTTTGTGTTCTTCACGTCTGTCCGCTGATGGTGTATGTTGTCTATTTTGAGCTGCTTAAGTAAAGCTGAAAACCTGCTTTTACTGGAGACTCCAGAGTCCGTTATTCTGAACTTCTGCTATACACTGCTACATGCCAACATTTTGGACTTCAACAACTCCCACTATTCCTAACAGCCTCAGGACCCTTTTCCTTTTCCATTTCCTTTTCCACTTAAGCAGCTGAGAGGGAAAAGGAAGGGACCTGAGGCTGTTAGGAATGGTGGGAGTTGGAATTCTTCCCTTGGCTTCTCACGGGGTTTTCACTCTTGCTGGGGACCTCTTGGGCATTGCTGTTGGCCACGTCTATTACTTCTTGGAAGACATCTTCTCAAACCAGTCTGGTGGAAGGTTTCTGAGGATGCCATTCCTGTTGAAAGCGATCTTCGACACGTCGGAAGAAGACCCCAATTACAACCCACAACCCACTGTTAAGAGGAGCGATCGGGTGGCTTTGCTTGGGGTGAAGGGCAGCGTTTGGGGGGCTGAAGGCGTATGAGAGAGAGAAAAACACATACATCTTTATGAAGACTACTCTGGACGAGTCTGACCCCTCCTTTGGCCAAAGCATTTTGCAGGACAGAGACAAATTTGGTTCGTATTCCAGGGGGAAAAAACCCAGGCATTGGGTTTTTGTAGGTTTTTTCGGGCTATATGGCCATGATCTAGAGGCATTCTCTCCTGACGTTTCGCCTGCATCTATGGCAAGCATCCTCAGACCTCACTACCTCTGAGGATGCTTGCCATAGATGCAGGTGAAGCGTCAGGAGAGAATGCCTCTAGAGCAGTGGTTCTCAACCTGGGGTCCATAGATGTTTTTGGCCTACAACTCCAGAAATCCCAGCCAGTTTACCAGCTGTTAGGATTTCTGGGAGTTGAAGGCCAAAAACATCTGGGGACCCCAGGTTGAGAACCACTGCTCTAAAGGCATTCTCTCCTGACATTTCGCCTGCATCTATGGCAAGCATCCTCAGAGGTAGTGAGGTCTGAGGATGCTTGCCATAGATGCAGGAAACGTCAGGAGAGAATGCCTCTAGAACATGGCCATATAGCCCGAAAAAACCTACAACAACCCAGTGATTCCAGCCATGAAAGCCTTCGACAATACATTAAACTTGGCATTGCAAGAGGGTCAAAACAAACGACAAATTGCCTGAGCCGAATCGAAGATGACATTTTCTCCAGTCTCACAACAATAACACCAACAACGTGTGCGTATGTATGTGTGTATAAAGTTTCCCAGTTTCAGTTGGTACCAGAAACAGGGAGCACACAAACATTTTGATTTTAGTGGTCCGTAGGAGACGTCGCTTTAAATGTCTGGCTTTGGAGACGAAGGCCAGATTTTCTTCCTGGAAGAAAACGTTTACAGTAGCGTGGGAAGGCATCTGACCGGGTTCTAGACTTAGTGATCTAGACTCGGAACTCAATCTGCCTTCACAGAGAGGCTTTGGCAAAACATGGCCCATCATGTGCTTCCTGCCGGCGAAAGGGTTTTGAGACTCCTTCTGAAGCCAAAGCCTGAGGAAGAAGAAGAAGTCCTTTGCTGGAGACGTTTTCAATAGCATGGGAAGGCAAAGGCAAAGGCAAAGGCATCTGACCGAGTTCTAGACTTAAGAGACCTAGACCTAGAGATCTAGACTTGGGACACAATCTGCCTTCAAAGAGAGGCTTTGGCGACACAGGGCCAATCATGCGCTTCCTGCCGGTGAAAGGGTTTTGGGACTCCTTCTGAAGCCAAAGCCTGAGGAAGAAGAAAAAGCCCTTTGCTGGAGTCTGTGTTGACTGTCACTAAACACCCAGGAAAAAAAGGAATTGTGGGAGTTGAGAGTCTAAAATACCTGGAAGACTGAAGTTTGCCCATGCCTGATCTAGATTTAAGAGGAACCAAGCCAAGAGTCTCAGAAATGGGTCCACAACTGAGATGAGACAGCCCTCTTTCCTCCCCTAGAGATGCCGAATGGAAGACCGAGCCATGCTACCCGGAACTGATAAGCGAAGGAACATGAAAAAACAAAGCAGATTGGAAGAGAATTCCTGCAAAGGAAGACTGGAAGGTACTGAAGGTCCCCCCAAATGTGAGAAGACGGTGTTGTCCTGCAACCGTATCCAAAGGTCAATAGTTTCTGCTACGACGTGAGGCCATGGAAGGCATATATCGTCCCAAACCGAGGGACAAAAGAGACTCCTCTCAAAGCACGGAAAGCTCTTCTTTGTCCAACTGAAATTTCCAGACCAAACCAAGATTTGTGAAGCACTTTGTAACAGCCAAAAGCCACGGCTCTTCAAAGCCACGGAAGCAAAACATCCCCCCAAATGGGTTCTGTGTGAAGTTTGCTCCAAAGACAAGGCACCCTTTCTTTCCCTCTCCTCCTTTTTCCAAACGCACCACAATGTTTCCTTTGATCACATAGACGTTTCACCCCAGAAGGTGAATCCTTCTTTGGAAAAATCCTGGAGAGAGGGAGGGAAGACTCCGACTCCCACAATCCACAAAAGGGAAACCTGGGAGTTGTAGTTCCTGTCCCTCAGAGCTCGGTGCAGGTGACAGGGGTGAGGCCGTGGATGAGCAAGGTGGGCCCCAGGTCTGTGGTCAGGATACGCAGCTGCTCCAGGTAGCGCTCGTACTGCGCGGTGTCGGCGGGAGGCCGTGGCAGGTACAGGAAGCGTACGGCGGTCTGCCCTCCTTGCTTCCTCACCAGGTTGTTGACGGACGCCAAGTACTCGTCCGTCACGCGGAAAGTGGTGGCTGCGTTGAGGAAGGTCTCCCCGTCGTGCGGGGGGGATGAGGCCTCCATCTCAGAGGGATGCTGTTGCTGGAGTCCGTTGAGGGCCACCACTTGGTCCCAGGTGACGATCTTGATGGTGGCCTTAATGCGCAGCTTGGTCAGCAGCTCCCGCAGCTTCTCCTCCTTGCCCACCCAGCCCACGTCGCCGGACTCCACGCAGAGGAAGATGCGCAGCCGGGCGGCCTTCCAGGAGCTGACCATGGTCAGGATGCAGGCCATCTGGAGCAGGAAGAGGCTGCAGATGTCCACGTAGGTCGGGGTGTGGGGCCGCAGCAGGTTCAGGGGCCACACGTCGATGTAGCGTCCCTCAAAACGCCGCTTGGAGGAGCTGGAGGAGGAGGAGGAAGAGGTGGAGGAAGTGGAGGAGGAGGAGGGCGAGGAAGGCTGGTCCTTCTCCAGGAGGTGGAAGTAGCGCGCCAGGCACACGTTCTTGTGCATCTTCACCGCATCTGAGATTATGGCCACGTACTCAGCCGGGCTCAACGCCCGAGGGCTCTCTGCCGGGCGCACGGGAGGGAAGTGAGCTTGCAAGGCCGCCAGGTCCACCCCAAACTCATCGTTCTCCCGCGCCTGGATGAAGGCCGGGTCTTGGAGGAAGTAGTCTTCCGGGACACAGTCGTCGTAGAAGCCCAGGACCAGCGTGTTGGGTTTCATGCCACCTGTGCCAGGAGGAGGAAAGAGGTGAACCCAATGGCAGGACCTGCGAGGAACTACTTTGGGTTCAGTGGGAACATTTATTTATTTACAGTATTGATATTCCACCCTTCTCACCCTTCGCAAGGGACTCAAGGCAGATCACAATGCAGGCGAAACGTCAGGAGAGAATGCCTCTAGAACAGTGGTTCTCAATACATGGCAAACATTCAATGCTATAGACCAGCGTTTCTCAACCTTTCTAATGCCGTGACCCCTAAATACAGTTCCTCATGTTGTGGTGACCCCCAACCATAAAATTATCTTCGTTGCTACTTTATAACTGTAATTTTGGTACTGTTATGTATCTTAATGTCAATGTATTTTCATTGTTACAAATTGAACATAATTAAAGCATAGTGATTAATCACAAAAACAACATGTTTTGGGGAGGTTGGACAATGGATAATGGGATCTGCAGTACCTTCAAGCGATTGAGCTCTGACTTCCACAGACCTGGGTCGCCCGGCTCGGGGGGCATGAGTCGGGTGACCCAGGCTCTGAGGCAGAGCCTGGACCCTGTGGGGAGCCATTTTGAGGAGGGGGCAGGGTCAAAGGAGGTGGCCTCGCAACCCCTCCAAAATGGCCACGCGACCCCCCTAGGGGTTGCGACCCCCGGGTTGAGAACCACTGCTATAGACACATCACATATAGAGACAGACACACAGAGGCTATTAACTTTCCAGCTTCATGAGGGTATGTTTGAATTCCGGCCACCGGGGGGAGCTGTTGCTTCACCGTCACTTGTGACACCAATGGAGTACTTCCTCATTCTTTTGCACGCTGCTGGAGAGTTTTATGGTGTCGTAAATTAGTTAAAATAACCTCCCCGCAAAAGTGGTACCTAAATTTCCTACTTGACAGAGGCAACTGTCTTTTGGGCTGCAAAGGGCGACAGCAAGGTAGACAAATGGTTGGGAGCTTGCGCCAACCCGGGCTAGGTTCAAACCCATGACCTTTCGGTCAGTAGTGATTTTAATGCAGCTGACTCCCAACCAACTGCACTACAACCCAGTCACATACTGGGAGAACCAGACGAAGTCAACTTCATGAGGGTATGTTTGAATTCTGGCCACCGGGAGGAGCTGTTGCTTCACCTTCACTTGTGACACCAATGGAGTACTTCCTCATTCTTTTGCACACTGCTGGAGAGTTTTATGGTGTCGTAAATTAGTTAAATTAACCTCCCCGCAGAAGTGGTACCTAAATTTCCTACTTGACAGAGGCGACTGTCTTTCGGGCTGCAAAGGGTGACAGCAAGCTAGAGAAATAGTTGGGAACTTACGCTGACCCGGGCTGGCTTCGAATCCATGACCTTTTGGTCAGTACTGATTTTAATGTAGCTGACTTCCAACCAGCTGTGCCACAACCTGGTCACAAACTGGGAGAACCAGATGAAGTCAACTTCACGAGAGTATGTTTGAATTCCAGCCACCGGGGGGAGCTGTTGCTTCACCTTCACTTGTGACACCAATGGAGTACTTCCTCATTCTTTTGCACACTGCTGGAGAGTTTTATGGTGTCGTAAATTAGTTAAATTAACCTCCCCGCAAAAGTGGTACCTAAATTTCCTACTTGACAGAGGCAACTGTCTTTTGGGCTGCAAAGGGCGACAGCAAGGTAGACAAATGGTTGGGAGCTTACGCCGACCTAGGTTGGGTTCGAACCCATGACCTTTTCGGTCAGTAGTGATTTTGATGCAGCTGACTCCCAACCTGGTCACAAACTGGGAAGAACCACACAAAGTCAGACTTGGGTTGAGTAATGCCTCCTTACAGGAAGAATTGTATGGACAGGGCTTGGAAAAGATACTTTTTTGGACTATCCTTCCCAGAATCCCCCAGCCAGCACAATCCTAATGAAAGCCTAAGCTCCTTCTTTCTGTTTTCCTGGTGGAAGATGAGGCCCTGGGGATGGATGAAGTCCCAAAAGGCTCACCCTACTTCCCGGCTCACCCAAATAACCACCGTGTCGTCCCCATCCTCACCCAATCCGGTGATCCGCAGGAGGTGCTGCGTCCCTTGCCGGACCGAAGGGGAGAGCGTCAGGTCCACAAAGGCTTTGATGTTCAGCTTGTCCACCAAGCTCAGCCAGAAGTTATAATGGGCCTGGATGGGGTCAGACGGCATGGTATCTGCAGGAAGGAGAGACAAACACATCGAAGATCTCTTGCGAGCTGGGTCTAGTTAGTACATAGAATCATAGAATCAAAGAGTTGGAAGAGACCTCCTGGGCCATCCAGTCCAACCCCATTCTGCCAAGAAGCAGGAATATTGCATTCAAATCACCCCTGACAGATGGCCATCCAGCCCCTGTTTAAAAGCTTCCAAAGAAGGAGCCTCCACGACACTCCGGGGCAGAGAGTTCCACTGCTGAACGGCTCTCACAGTCAGGAAGTTCTTCCTCATGTTCAGATGGAATCTCCTCTCTTGTAGTTTGAAGCCATTGTTCCCATTGCGTCCTAGTCTCCAAGGAAGCAGAAAACAAGCTTGCTCCCTCCTCCTCCCTGTGGCTTCCTCTCACATATTTATACATGGCTATCATGTCTCCTCTCATCCTTCTCTTCTTCAGGCTAAACATGCCCAGCTCCTTAAGCCGCTCCTCATAGGGCTTGTTCTCCAGACCCTTGATCATTTTAGTTGCCCTCCTCTGGCACATTCCAGCTTGTCAATATCTCTCTTGAATTGTGGTGCCCAGAATTGGACACAATATTCCAGGTGTGGTCTAACCAAAGAATAGAGGGGTAGCATGACTTCCCTAGATCTAGACACTATGCTCCTATTGATGCAGGCCAAAATCCCATTGGCTTTTTTGCCGCCACATCACATTGTTGGCTCATGTTTAACTTGTTGTCCACGAGGACTCCAAGATCTTTTTCACACGTACTGCTCTCGAGCCAGGCATTGTCCCATTCTGTATCTTTGCATTTCATTTTTTCTGCCAAAGTGGAGTATCTTGCATTTGTCACTGTTGAACTTCATTTTGTTAGTTTTGGCCCATCTCTCTAATCTGTCAAGATCGTTTTGAATCCTGCTCCTGTCCTCTGGAGTCTTGGCTCTCCCTCCCAATTTGGTGTCGTCTGCAAACTTGATGATCCTGCCTTCTAGCCCTTCATCTAAGTCATTAATAAAGATGTTGAACAGGACCGGGCCCAGGACGGAACCCTGCGGCACTCCGCTCGTCACTTCTTTCCAGGATGAAGAGGAAGCATTGGTGAGCACCCTCTGGGTTCGTCCATTTAACCAATTACAGATCCACCTCACCGTAGTTTTGAATGGGAGACCACTACCACCACGGAGCGTGCCAAGGGATTGCAAGGAAAGACGCTTGTTTGGATAGTCTGGATATGTCACCGGCAAGAGCTGATAACACTGGAGTAAATTGACCCCCTGACATAATACGAAGGCAAATTTCTTATGTCCCCCCCAACACACAGCCCCCTTAGTGTGGGGAGAGGGCTTACCAAGGTCCCCGATCTCCACGTGTCCCAGGACAAAGAGGCCTCCCTTCTTGAGGTGGTTGATGAACTTCATGAGCTGGGAGCCGCCACGAGGGTTGGCCACCATAAGAAGGATCTGCGGCCGCCAGAACTTGACGTGGTCCTTCCGGATGTCCAGGAGGAGCAAGTACTTCCGCACCTTTTATCAATTGGGGCAGAAATAATAATAATAATAATAATAATAATAATAATAATAATAATACCTTTTATTTATTATCCGCCTCTCCTGATGGCTCGAGGCTGGGTACAACAAAGTCAAAACATATGAACATAAATAAAATACAGGCAGTCCTCGAGTTACAAACATTCAACTTACAAAAGGCTCCTAGTTAAGAACAGGGTGAAATGACAAGAACTGCAAGAAATCTTCCTCTAGGAAGGGAAGGTCACTCCTGGAAGAGTTGTTATCATGGGTATTGTCGAAGGCTTTTATGGCCGGAATAACTCGGTTGTTGTAGGTTTTTTCGGGCTATATGGCCATGGTCTAGAGGCATTCTCTCCTGACGTTTCGCCTGCATCTATGGCAAGCATTCTCAGAGGTAGTGAGGTCTGTTGGAACTAGGAAATGGGTTTATATATCTGTGGAATGACCAGGGTGGGACAAAGGACTCTTGTCTGCTGGAGCTAGGTGTGAATGTTTCAACTGACCACCTTGATTAGCATGCAATGGCCTGACTGTGCCTAGAGCAAACTTTTGTTGAGAGGTGATTAGATGTCCTTGTTTGTTTCCTCTCTGTTGTTGTACTGTTCTAATTTTAGAGTTTTTTAATACTGGGAGCCAGATTTTGTTCATTTTCATGGTTTCCTCCTTTCTGTTGAAATTGTCCACATGCTTGTGTATTTCAGTGGCTTCTTTGTGTAGTCTGGACCACTCTCACAACCACCATGTCAGACCTAGCTCCAGCAGACAAGAGTCCTTTGTCCCACCCTGGTCATTCCACAGATATATAAACCCTGCTGGAAGAGGTGGGTCTTCAGTTGACTCTTCCATTCTGACAGCTTGTTAATAATAATAATAATAATAATTATTATTATTATTATTATTATTATTATTATTATTATTATATTCCGCCCTATCTCCCCCAGGGGACTCAGGGCAGATCACAGTACATATATATGGCAAACATTCAATGCTGCTTTGGATAGACAATACAGAGACAGACAGAACTGAAAGGAGGTATGTTGTGTCAATGTCAACATCCAGCTTTTTGGCACCTTGGAAGGTTGTGCTCGAATCCAGCCACAGGGGGTGTTGTCACTCCCTAGTTTATGACAAAGGGCCATCAGGAATTCTTCTATTTTGGTCACCCGACATTTTCTGATCTTCTTTCTTTATGGTGTCGTAAAATAACCCCCCCCCCCCACTTATTTTTAGCGGTACCTAATTTCTCTAATTACAGCTCAAGCTGTTTTTGAACTGCTTAGATCAACAGTAAGCTGGGCTTGACAGTTGGTACCTGGGGCTTCGAACCAGCAACCAACTTTTCTGGGTTGTTGTAGGTTTTTCCGGGCTATATGGCCATGTTCTGGAGGCAATTTTTCTCCTGACGTTTCGCCTGCATCTATGGCAAGCATCCTCAGAGGTAGTGAGGTCTGTTGGAAGTAGGAAAAATGGGTTTATATATCTGTGGAATGACCAGGGTGAGACAAAGGACTTTTGTCTGCTGGACCTAGGGGTGAATGTTTCAGCTGATCACCTTGATTAGCATTCAATGGCTTGGAAGTGCCCGGGGGGAATCTTTTGTTGAGAGTGATTTTATGTGCCTGTTTGTTTCCCCTCTGTTGTTTTGCTGTTGTAATTTTTGAGTTTTTTAATACTGGTAGCCAGATTTTGTTCATTTTCATGGTTTCTTCCTTTCTGTTGAAGTTGTCCACATGCTTCTTGTGGATGTCAATGGCTTCTCTGTGTAGCCTGACATGGTGGTTGTGAGAGTGGCCCAGCACTTCTGTGTTCTCAAATAATATGCTGTGTCCAGGTTGGTTCATCAGGTGCTCTGCTATGGCTGATTTCTCTGGTTGGAGTAGTTTGCAGTGCCTTTCATGTTCCTTGATGCGTGTCTGGGCAATGCTGATATGTTTGGTGGTCCCTATGTAGACTTGTCCACAGCTGCATGGTTCACGGTAGACTCCTGCAGAAGTGAGAGGATCCTTCTTGTCCTTTGCTGGATTTGTTGGATTTGCTTGGTGGGTCTGTAGATAGTTTATATGTTGTGTTTCCTCATCAGCTTCCCTCTGCGGTCAGTGGTTCCTTTGACCCAGACTAACCAAGATATATAAACTCTTTTTGCTACTTCCAACAGACCTCACTACCTCTGAGGATGCTTGCCATAGATGCAGGCAAAACGTCAGGAGAAAAATTGCCTCCAGACCATGGCCATATAGCCCGGAAAAACCTACAACGACCTAGTGATTCCGGCCATGAAAGCCTTCGACAATACAACCAACTTTTCAGTTGGTAGATCTTATCATTGCTGGTGATTTACCAGCTGTGCTAAACCCCGGCCCATTTAGCTGTTAGATCTCTTCCACAGAAATGAGAGGGGTTCAAATCCCAATAGACACGCAGGCTATTATTTGGAGATGTGGCTGCTTTGGTGGAGAACTCTCCATGGAAGTCTGACTTGGCCACGGTAGTCCACGCTCTGGTTACATCCCGTTTAGACTACTGCAACGCTCTCTACATGGGGTTGCCTTTGAAGACGGCCCGGAAGTTTCAATTGGTCCAACGTGCGGCAGCCATGATACTAACAGGAGCGGAGCGCAGGGAGCATACAACCCCCCTGTTGCGCCAACTCCACTGGCTACCGATCTGCTACCGGGCTGAATTCAAAGTGCTGGTGTTGGCCTTTAAAGCCCTAAACGGTTCGGGGCCAAGATACCTATCCGACCGCATCTCGGCCTATGAGCCCACCAGGACTTTGAAATCTTCCGGGGAGACCCTGCTCTCGATCCCGCCTGCTTCTCAGGCACGGCTGGCAGGGACGAGAGATAGTGCCTTCTCGGTGGTGGCTCCTCGGCTGTGGAACACCCTTCCCGTGGACATCAGACTGGCTCCTTCCCTGATGATATTCCGCAGGAAATTAAAGACTTGGTTGTTCAAGAAGGCGTTCGAACAAGAAGGACAACGATTGGTAATGATGAAAGAAATGGAACAACGGAAAACGATACTGGATTGTGGTTTGGATGATGAGACGACGCGGAATGGCTTTGTAGTAATGATGATGTTTTTTGTTTAATGCTGGATTGTGGATTATTTTATATTATGTCTTGAATTTTGAACTTTGTTCTCCCTATGTTGTACACCGCTGTGAGTCGCCCCCAGGCTGAGAACAGCAGTATATAAGCAAAGTAAATGATAAATAATAAACCTGTGTTGGATGGGGTCGCACTCCCCCTGAAGACACAGGTTCGCAGCTTGGGTGTGATCCTGGACTCATCGNGGAGGTGTCTACGGACAACACCGGCTCTTTGGCTTAGAAATGGAGATGAGCACCAACCCCCAGAGCCAGACATGACTGGACTTAATGTCAGGGGACAACCTTTACCTTTACCTTTAGCCAGATTATGTTCATTTTCATGGTTTCCTCCTTTCTGATGAAATTGTCCACCTGCTTCTTGTGGATTTCAATGGCTTCTCTGTGTAGACATCCCGCCTTGATTACTGCAACGCTCTCTACGTGGGGTTGCCTTTGAAGACAGTCCGGAAGCTCCAACTAGTCCAACGGGCGGCAGCCATGGTACTAACAGGAGCGGGGCGCAGGGAGCACACAACTCCTCTGCTGCACCAGCTCCACTGGCTGCCGATATGCTACCGGGCTCAATTCAAAGTGCTGGTTTTGGCCTTTAAAGCCCTAAACGGTTCTGGCCCAACTTATCTATCCGAACGTATCTCAGCCTATCAGCCCACCAGGACCCTAAGGTCTTCTGGAGAGTCCCTGCTCTCTATCCCACCGGCTTCCCAAGTGCGGCTGGCGGGAACGAGAGACAGGGCCTTCTCTGTGGTGGCCCCTCGGCTTTGGAACACCCTCCCTATAGAGATACGATCAGCCTCTTCGCTGATGGTCTTTCGGAAGAGATTAAAAACATGGTTGTGTAAACAAGCATTCAATTAGTTTGTTACTATTGAATTTATAGACTAAGGACTGGTTAACTATGGATGACGAACTCTGGACTGTGATTTTTGTGACGAGAAGCATGGTATTATTATTGGTGGCCCAATAATTTGTATTGTTTACGTGTTGTTGTTTTAAATTGTACATTGCTTTTAATTGCTGTAAACCGCAATGAGTCGCCGATTTAGGCTGAGATATTAGCGGTATACAAGTGTATTAAATAAATAAAATAAATAAATAAATAATAGACTGACATGGTGGTTGTGAGAGTGGTCTAGCATTTCTGTCTTCTCAAATAATCTGCTGTGTCCAGGTTGGCTCATCAGGTGCTCTGCTATGGCTGACTTCTCTGGCTGAAGTCATTTACAGTGCCTTTCCTGTTCCTTGATTCGTGTCTGGGCAATCCGGCTGCATTTGNAAATAAATAAATAAATAAATAAATAAATAAATAAATAAATGTTGGTACCTGCACCTGTTGCCCCATACCTGGTGGAAGATGAGGGCCTGGCTGATGTAGCCCCAGGAGGAGGCGGCCGAGCGGAGGTGGATGAAGCCCAGCAACAGGACCATGAGGCCCAGGCTGCCCGAAGCCCCGGCCGGACTGATCAGGAACATCATCACCAGGCAGGAGACGATGCCCAGGAAGCAGGTGTGCCACGAGAAGAGCTGGAAGGTGGGCCTGCAGAAGGAGAAGGCCGTCACCTTCAGAGCGATCCATATCACCCAAATGATGCCTTTTCTCAGAACCAGTTCCTTCCGCGTCCCTCACTTGCCCTGAGTGACCCTCCCACCCACCCGCCAGGCGCCTCACCCACCGGAAGTTGGGAGCAGAGGCCCACTCCAGCGCCAGGCAGGCCAGGTCCACAGCAGCATAAGCCACGAGGTAGAAGACGGTCACAATGCCAGCAATGGTGTTGAGCTTCCCCACCAAGAGCACCAGCTGCGGAGGGAGGCAGGCGGAAAGAGTTCGTTTTGGACTGCTTTTAGTGTTGGAAATAACAACCTTATTTATTTATTTATTTATTTGGTTTACTTCTACCCCGCCCTTCTCACCCCGAAGAGGACTCAGGGCGGCTTACAAAAACAAGGCACAATTTGATGCTCGTATCACACAACAGCAATAAAACAAAACAGCATAAATTAGCAATCAAAGCACAATTCTACATTGCATCTATAAACCGATAAAACCAATAAGACCAACAAAAATCCATACAAACCAATTACTCCTTGTTGCCGGTCAGCATTTGCTATCTCATAGTTCAAATTCCAATTCCACAATTGTCAGTCCTGTCAGTCCTATTCGTCTGGCTGTCCTTATCTACTTAGTAGATTGCCCGAAGGCCTGATCCCACAACCATGTCTTTACCTTCCTCCTGAAGGAGAGGAGGGATGTTGATGCCCTAATTTCCCCCGGGAGTGAGTTCCACAGGTGAGGGGCCACCACTGAGAAGGCCCTGCTCCTCGTCCCCACCAGCCCCACTTGGGATAGCGGTGGGGTCGAGAGCAGGGCCTCCCCAGATGATCTCAGACTCCGGGGTGGGACGTAGAGGGAGATACGTTCGGACAGATACACTGGACCGGAACCGTACAGGGTTTTGTAGGTCAAAACCAGCACCTTGAATTGTGCTCGGAACTGAACCGGCAGCCAGTGGAGCTGACACAGCAGAGGGGTGGTGTGCTTCCTGTATGACGCTCCGGTGAGTAATCTGGCTGTCGCTTGCCGGACCAGTTGAAGTTTCCAAACCGTCTTCAAGGGCAACCCCACGTAGAGTACATTGCAGTAGTCTATTCAAGATGTAACAAGAGCGTGGACCACTGTGGCCAGATCAGATCAGACTTCCCAAGGTACGGTACCTTCTTCAAACCTCCATTAGTCATTTGTCTGTACATAATTCAGATTGCTTACTGTATTGCATATGGGTGTATTGGTATGCACTTTTCCTTAGCTTTTTGTTGTGGAGGGACTACAGACCATGTGACCAGATCTGGGACTATTCAGATCTCAGACTCCATTTTAGAAAGACAGACTCCATTAGACTCTCAGAATGTAAAGATGCTTTAGATCAGGGGTCCTCAAACTTTTTAAATAGGGGACTAGTTCACTGTCCTTCAGACCGTTGAAGGGCCGGACTTGCGCTGCCCGTTGGGCATGGTAAGCGGCAAAAACCAGGTGAGGGAGGCTGCACCACACGGCCTGGGCTCACGTGAAGCCCCTCGCCTGGCTCGTGCTGCCTATCAGGCCATGCCATGCTGTGCAGCCTCCGTCACCTGGTTTTCGCTGCTTACCAGGCGAGGAAGGCTACACAGCGCGGTCTGGCCTCACGCGAAGCTCCTTGCTACTTGCCAGACCCAACAGACACTGAGAGAGAGGCCTTACGAACCACTGAAGACTTTAAGATCATCTGGGGAGGCCCTGCTCTTGGTCCTGCCTTCGTCAAAAGCATGTTTGGTGGGGACGAGAGACAGGACCTTCTCAGTGGTGGCCCCTCGGCTATGGAACACCCTCCCTAGAGAGATCAGATCTGCTCCCTCCCTCCCTGTCCGAACGTACCTTCCCTTACGAACCACTGAGGACTTTAAGATCATCGGGGAGGCCCTGCTCTCGGTCCCGCCTTCGTCACAAGCACGTTTGGCGGGGACGAGAGATAGGGCCTTCTCAGTGGTGGCCCCTCAGCTATGGAACACCCTCCCTAGAGAGATCAGATCTGCTCCCTCCCTCTTGACATTTTGGAGGTAAGTTAAAACGTGGCTATTCGACCAAGTGTTTACAAATACAGAGTAGCTAATATAGGAAATTGAATGACCTGACAATGGAATTGGACAATGCTTGAGAATAATGAGACGCTGATGATGTTGATTTTATTGCTTTTGTGATGTCTTACACAAGTTCTGATGGCTCTTTGTCATAAAGGAAGGAGCGACAGCACCCCCCTGTGGCTGGATTCGAGCACAACCTTCCAAGGTGCCAAAAAGCTGGATGTTGACATTGACACAACATACCTCCTTTCTGTCCTGTCTGTCTCTGTATTGTCTATCCAAAGCGGCATTGAATGTTTGCCATATATATGTACTGTTATCTGCCCTGAGTCCCCTGGGGGAGAGAGGGTGTAATAATAATAATAATAATAATAATAATAATAATAATAATAATAATAATAATTATTATTATTATTATTATTATTATTATTATAAACAAGCTGTCAGAACGGAAGACTCAACTGAAGACCCACCTCTTCCAGCAGGCCTGCTCAGTCAACTTTCAGTCATGAGTTTTGATTTACATTCTATTGCTGCCTTATGTTAATTTTGTACCCTGTGTTTAGCGTATTTTTATATTGATGTTTAATGTTTTTTTATCTATTATGTTTTATGTACACTGATTTGTTGGAAACCGCCTTGAGTTGCCGATTGGCTGAGAAAGGCAGGATACAAATACAGTAAATAAATAAATAAGTGCCCTGGGTGGGCCGCACGTGGCCCGTGGGCCGTAGTTTGAGGACCCCCTGCTTTAGATTTTGGACTGTTGATTCTAAGAAATATATCATAGAATCATAGAGTTGGAAGAGACCTCATGGGCCATCCAGTCCAACCCCATTCTGCCAAGAAGCAGGAATATTGCATTCAAATCACCCCTGACAGATGGCCATCCAGCTCTGTTTAAAAGCTTCCAAAGAAGGAGCCTCCACCACACTCCGGGCAGAGAGTTCCACTGCTGAAAGGCTCTCACAGTCAGGAAGTTCTTCCTCATGTTCAGATGGAATCTCCTCTCTTGTAGTTTGAAGCCATTGTCTCCATTGCGTCCTAGTCTCCAGGGAAGCAGAAAACAAGCTTGCTCCCTCCTCCTCCCTGTGGCTTCCTCTCACATATTTATACATGGCTCTTATCATATCTCCTCTCAGCCTTCTCTTCTTCAGGCTAAACATGCCCAGCTCCTTAAGCCGCTCCTCATAGGGCTTGTTCTCCAGACCTTTTATCATTTTAGTCGCTCTCCTCTGGACACATTCCCGCTTGTCAATATCTCTCTTGAATTGTGGTGCCCAGAATTGGACACAATATTCCAGGTGTGGTCTAACCAAGGCAGAATAGAGCATGGGGAGCATGACTTCCCTAGATCTAGACACTAGGCTCCTATTGATGCAGGCCAAAATCCCATTGGCTTTTTTTGCCGCCACATCACATTGTTGGCTCATGTTTAACTTGTTGTCCACGAGGACTCCAAGATCTTTTTCACACGTACTGCTCTCGAGCCAGGCATTGTCCCCCATTCTGTATCCTTGCATTTCATTTTTCCTGCCAAAGTGGAGTATCTTGCATTTGTCCCTGTTGAACTTCATTTGTTAGTTTTGGCCCATCATCTCTCTAATCTGTCAAGATCGTTTTGAATCCTGCTCCTGTCCTCTGGAGTCTTGGCTATCCCTCCCAATTTGGTGTCGTCTATCCTGTCTATCCACAACTGGATTGATAAGCAATGTTGGTAGGCTGTTAGGAATTGTGGGTGTTGAAGTCCAAAACATCTGGAGGAGGGCCAACGTTTGCCCACGCCTGCTCTAGGATCTCCAAAAGGTCCTGCCAGACATGGCCATAGATGAAGCTGGAGGACAGTATGATCCTAATCAGGGGACGTTGTGGGGCTGATGGAGATGTTAAATACTAGGAATGGGGGACACCTGGGAGTGCAAAAGGGAAGGGGAGCCAGGTCGTTACCTGCACCAGGCCCCAGGTGTAGAGGACGGCCACCCAGGGGTTCCCTCCTTTGGAGACGATCTTGGCTGGTGCCAGGACGATCCCTGTTGGAGGAAAGAGAAAGACTACGATGGTAACGTCGTGTTTGCGAAGTGGGACACTTTGCAAGTGAGAAGTGGGCAAAGGCTAAGTTTTGAGGAGGTGGGAGAAGCAAAAGGAGGGCAAGGGGTCCCACCGAAGAGGTCGTCCTTGGCCAAAGCGTGGAGGATGCGGGAGGCGCCGATGAGGTTGCTCATGGAGGCCGAGAGGGAAGCCGAGTAGATGCCCACCAGGACGAAAGGCGGCCAGACGTTGATGGAGCGGAAGAAGCCATAGTCGCCCTGCAGCAGAGCCCTGCGGAGTGGGAGAAAGTGATGTTTTGCGGCGATTTCTATTACCACGCTTTGACCGGAGACCCGACCTTCACCAAAGCAGCTCCGTACGGAGGGGCCTCCTCATCCTCGGCTGGCTCGCCATGGCTCCCTGACCCTCCCCACCTGCACTACAAATCCCAATTGAGCCCCTTTTTCCTTCTAGCATGGGCCTGGAGACCTCCTTTGAGTTCCTCTAAGGCAGGCCTGGGCAAACTTGGGCCCTCCATGTGTTTTGGACTTTAAAACTAGCTTCTCTGGCTTGAGCCGAGGCCAGGAAATTCCCTCTTTCTCTGGTTTAAAACTGGCTTCTCTGGCTTGAGCCGAGGCCAGGAAATTCCCTCCTTCTCTGGTTTTACACTGGCTTCTCTGGCTTGAGCCGAGGCCAGGAAATTCCCTCCTTCTTTGGTTTTACACTGGCTTCTCTGGCTTGAGCCGAGGCCAGGAAATTCCCTCCTTTTCTGGTTTAAAACTGGCTTCTCTGGCTTGAGCCGAGGCCAGGAAATTCCCTCTTTCTCTGGTTTAAAACTGGCTTCTCTGGCTTGAGCCGAGGCCAGGAAATTCCCTCCTTCTCTGGTTTGACACTGGCTTCTCTGGCTTGAGCCGAGGCCAGGAAAATCCCTCTTTCTCTGGTTTAAAACTGGCTTCTCTGGCTTGAGCCGAGGCCAGGAAATTCCCTCCTTCTCTGGTTTGACACTGGCTTCTCTGGCTTGAGCCGAGGCCAGGAAATTCCCTCTTTCTCTGGTTTAAAACTGGCTTCTCTGGCTTGAGCCGAGGCCAGGAAATTCCCTCCTTCTCTGGTTTGACACTGGCTTCTCTGGCTTGAGCCGAGGCCAGGAAATTCCCTCCTTCTCTGGTTTGACACTGGCTTCTCTGGCTTGAGCCGAGGCCAGGAAATTCCCTCCTTCTCTGGTTTAAAACTGGCTTCTCTGGCTTGAGCCGAGGCCAGGAAATTCCCTCCTTCTCTGGTTTGACACTGGCTTCTCTGGCTTGAGCCGAGGCCAGGAAATTCCCTCTTTCTCTGGTTTAAAACTGGCTTCTCTGGCTTGAGCCGAGGCCAGGAAATTCCCTCCTTCTCTGGTTTGACACTGGTTTCTCTGGCTTGAGCCGAGGCCAGGAAATTCCCTCTTTCTCTGGTTTAAAACTGGCTTCTCTGGCTTGAGCCGAAGGCCAGGAAATTCCCTCCTTCTCTGGTTTGACACTGGCTTCTCTGGCTTGAGCCGAGGCCAGGAAATTCCCTCTTTCTCTGGTTTAAAACTGGCTTCTCTGGCTTGAGCCGAGGCCAGGAAATTCCCTCCTTCTCTGGTTTGACACTGGCTTCTCTGGCTTGAGCCGAGGCCAGGAAAATCCCTCTTTCTCTGGTTTAAAACTGGCTTCTCTGGCTTGAGCCGAGGCCAGGAAATTCCCTCCTTCTCTGGTTTAAAACTGGCTTCTCTGGCTTGAGCCGAGGCCAGGAAATTCCCTCCTTCTCTGGTTTGACACTGGCTTCTCTGGCTTGAGCCGAGGCCAGGAAATTCCCTCTTTCTCTGGTTTAAAACTGGCTTCTCTGGCTTGAGCCGAGGCCAGGAAATTCCCTCCTTCTCTGGTTTGACACTGGCTTCTCTGGCTTGAGCCGAGGCCAGGAAATTCCCTCTTTCTCTGGTTTAAAACTGGCTTCTCTGGCTTGAGCCGAGGCCAGGAAATTCCCTCCTTCTCTGGTTTAAAACTGGCTTCTCTGGCTTGAGCCGAGGCCAGGAAATTCCTTCCTTCTCTGGTTTGAAACTGGCTTCTCTTGCTTTAGCCGAGGCCAGGAAATTCCTTCCTTCTCTGGTTTAAAACTGGCTTCTCTGGCTTGAGCCGAGGCCAGGAAATCCCTCTTTCTCTGGTTTAAAACTGGCTTCTCTGGCTTGAGCCGAGGCCAGGAAATTCCCTCCTTCTCTGGTTTGACACTGGCTTCTCTGGCTTGAGCCGAGGCCAGGAAAATCCCTCTTTCTCTGGTTTAAAACTGGCTTCTCTGGCTTGAGCCGAGGCCAGGAAATTCCCTCCTTCTCTGGTTTGACACTGGCTTCTCTGGCTTGAGCCGAGGCCAGGAAATTCCCTCTTTCTCTGGTTTAAAACTGGCTTCTCTGGCTTGAGCCGAGGCCAGGAAATTCCCTCCTTCTCTGGTTTAAAACTGGCTTCTCTGGCTTGAGCCGAGGCCAGGAAATCCCTCTTTCTCTGGTTTAAAACTGGCTTCTCTGGCTTGAGCCGAGGCCAGGAAATTCCCTCCTTCTCTGGTTTGACACTGGCTTCTCTGGCTTGAGCCGAGGCCAGGAAATTCCCTCTTTCTCTGGTTTAAAACTGGCTTCTCTGGCTTGAGCCGAGGCCAGGAAATTCCCTCCTTCTCTGGTTTAAAACTGGCTTCTCTGGCTTGAGCCGAGGCCAGGAAATTCCCTCCTTCTCTGGTTTGACACTGGCTTCTCTGGCTTGAGCCGAGGCCAGGAAATTCCCTCCTTCTCTGGTTTGACACTGGCTTCTCTGGCTTGAGCCGAGGCCAGGAAATTCCCTCTTTCTCTGGTTTAAAACTGGCTTCTCTGGCTTGAGCCGAGGCCAGGAAATTCCCTCCTTCTCTGGTTTGACACTGGCTTCTCTGGCTTGAGCCGAGGCCAGGAAATTCCCTCTTTCTCTGGTTTAAAACTGGCTTCTCTGGCTTGAGCCGAGGCCAGGAAATTCCCTCCTTCTCTGGTTTAACACTGGCTTCTCTGGCTTGAGCCGAGGCCAGGAAATTCCCTCTTTCTCTGGTTTAAAACTGGCTTCTCTGGCTTGAGCCGAGGCCAGGAAATTCCCTCCTTCTCTGGTTTGACACTGGCTTCTCTGGCTTGAGCCGAGGCCAGGAAATTCCCTCTTCTCTGGTTTAAAACTGGCTTCTCTGGCTTGAGCCGAGGCCAGGAAATTCCCTCCTTCTCTGGTTTGACACTGGCTTCTCTGGCTTGAGCCGAGGCCAGGAAATTCCCTCCTTTTCTGGTTTAAAACTGGCTTCTCTAGCTTGAGCCGAGCCCAGGAAATTCCCTCTTTCTCTGGTTTAAAACTGGCTTCTCTGGCTTGAACCGAGGCCAGGAAATTCCCTCTTTCTCTGGTTTAAAACTGGCTTCTCTGGCTTGAGCCGGGCCAGGAAATTCCTTCCTTCTCTGGTTTAAAACTGGCTTCTCTGGCTTGAGCCGAGGCCAGGAAAATCCCTCTTTCTCTGGTTTAAAACTGGCTTCTCTGGCTTGAGCCGAGGCCAGGAAATTCCCTCCTTCTCTGGTTTAAAACTGGCTTCTCTGGCTTCAGCCGAGGCCAGGAAATTCCTTCCTTCTCTGGTTTAAAACTGCTTCTCTGGCTTGAGCCGAGGCCAGGAAATTCCCTCCTTCTCTGGTTTGACACTGGCTTCTCTGGCTTGAGCCGAGGCCAGGAAAATCCCTCTTTTTCTGGTTTAAAACTGGCTTCTCTGGCTTGAGCCGAGGCCAGGAAATTCCCTCCTTCTCTGGTTTGACACTGGCTTCTCTGGCTTGAGCCGAGGCCAGGAAAATCCCTCTTTCTCTGGTTTAAAACTGGCTTCTCTGGCTTGAGCCGAGGCCAGGAAATTCCCTCCTTCTCTGGTTTGACACTGGCTTCTCTGGCTTGAGCCGAGGCCAGGAAATTCCCTCTTTCTCTGGTTTAAAACTGGCTTCTCTGGCTTGAGCCGAGGCCAGGAAATTCCCTCTTTCTCTGGTTTAAAACTGGCTTCTCTGGCTTGAGCCTAAGCCAGGAAATTCCCTCTTTCTCTGGTTTAAAACTGGCTTCTCTGGCTTGAGCCTAACCCAGGAAATTCCCTCTTTCTCTGGTTTAAAACTGGCTTCTCTGGCTTGAACCGAGGCCAGGAAATTCCCTCCTTCTCTGTTTTGACACTGGCTTCTCTGGCTTGAGCCGAGGCCAGGAAATTCCCTCCTTCTCTGGTTTGACACTGGCTTCTCTGGCTTGAGCCGAGGCCAGGAAATTCCCTCTTTCTCTGGTTTAAAACTGGCTTCTCTGGCTTGAGCCGAGGCCAGGAAATTCCCTCCTTCTCTGGTTTGACACTGGTTTCTCTGGCTTGAGCCGAGGCCAGGAAATTCCCTCTTTCTCTGGTTTAAAACTGGCTTCTCTGGCTTGAGCCGAGGCCAGGAAATTCCCTCCTTCTCTGGTTTGACACTGGCTTCTCTGGCTTGAGCCGAGGCCAGGAAATTCCCTCTTTCTCTGGTTTAAAACTGGCTTCTCTGGCTTGAGCCGAGGCCAGGAAATTCCCTCTTTCTCTGGTTTAAAACTGGCTTCTCTGGCTTGAGCCTAAGCCAGGAAATTCCCTCTTTCTCTGGTTTAAAACTGGCTTCTCTGGCTTGAGCCTAACCCAGGAAATTCCCTCTTTCTCTGGTTTAAAACTGGCTTCTCTGGCTTGAACCGAGGCCAGGAAATTCCCTCCTTCTCTGTTTTGACACTGGCTTCTCTGGCTTGAGCCGAGGCCAGGAAATTCCCTCCTTCTCTGGTTTGACACTGGCTTCTCTGGCTTGAGCCGAGGCCAGGAAATTCCCTCTTTCTCTGGTTTAAAACTGGCTTCTCTGGCTTGAGCCGAGGCCAGGAAATTCCCTCCTTCTCTGGTTTGACACTGGTTTCTCTGGCTTGAGCCGAGGCCAGGAAATTCCCTCTTTCTCTGGTTTAAAACTGGCTTCTCTGGCTTGAGCCGAGGCCAGGAAATTCCCTCCTTCTCTGGTTTGACACTGGCTTCTCTGGCTTGAGCCGAGGCCAGGAAATTCCCTCCTTCTCTGGTTTGACACTGGCTTCTCTGGCTTGAGCCGAGGCCAGGAAAATCCCTCTTTCTCTGGTTTAAAACTGGCTTCTCTGGCTTGAGCCGAGGCCAGGAAATTCCCTCCTTCTCTGGTTTAAAACTGGCTTCTCTGGCTTGAGCCGAGGCCAGGAAATTCCCTCTTTCTCTGGTTTAAAACTGGCTTCTCTGGCTTGAGCCGAGGCCAGGAAATTCCTTCCTTCTCTGGTTTAAAACTGGCTTCTCTGGCTTGAGCCAAGGCCAGGAAATTCCTTCTTTTCTCTGGTTTAAAACTTGCTTCTCTGGCTTGAGCCGAGACCAGGAAATTCCTTCCTTCTCTGGTTTAAAACTGGCTTCTCTGGCTTGAGCCGAGGCCAGGAAATTCCTTCCTTCTCTGGTTTAACTGGCTTCTCTGGCTTGAGCCGAGGCCAGGAAATTCCTCCCTTCTCTGGTTTAAAACTGGCTTCTCTGGCTTGAGCCGAGGCCAGGAAATTCCTTCCTTGTTCTGGTTTAAAACGCTTCTCTGGCTTGAGCCGAGGCCAGGAAATTCCCTCTTTCTCTGGTTTAAAACTGGCTTCTCTGGCTTGAGCCGAGGCCAGGAAATTCCCTCCTTCTCTGGTTTGACACTGGCTTCTCTGGCTTGAGCCGAGGCCAGGAAAATCCCTCTTTCTCTGGTTTAAAACTGGCTTCTCTGGCTTGAGCCGAGGCCAGGAAATTCCCTCCTTCTCTGGTTTGACACTGGCTTCTCTGGCTTGAGCCGAGGCCAGGAAATTCCCTCTTTCTCTGGTTTAAAACTGGCTTCTCTGGCTTGAGCCGAGGCCAGGAAATTCCCTCCTTCTCTGGTTTGACACTGGCTTCTCTGGCTTGAGCCGAGGCCAGGAAAATCCCTCTTTCTCTGGTTTAAAACTGGCTTCTCTGGCTTGAGCCGAGGCCAGGAAATTCCCTCTTTCTCTGGTTTAAAACTGGCTTCTCTGGCTTGAGCCTAAGCCAGGAAATTCCCTCTTTCTCTGGTTTAAAACTGGCTTCTCTGGCTTGAGCCTAACCCAGGAAATTCCCTCTTTCTCTGGTTTAAAACTGGCTTCTCTGGCTTGAACCGAGGCCAGGAAATTCCCTCCTTCTCTGTTTTGACACTGGCTTCTCTGGCTTGAGCCGAGGCCAGGAAATTCCCTCCTTCTCTGGTTTACACTGGCTTCTCTGGCTTGAGCCGAGGCCAGGAAATTCCCTCTTTCTCTGGTTTAAAACTGGCTTCTCTGGCTTGAGCCGAGGCCAGGAAATTCCCTCCTTCTCTGGTTTGACACTGGTTTCTCTGGCTTGAGCCGAGGCCAGGAAATTCCCTCTTTCTCTGGTTTAAAACTGGCTTCTCTGGCTTGAGCCGAGGCCAGGAAATTCCCTCCTTCTCTGGTTTGACACTGGCTTCTCTGGCTTGAGCCGAGGCCAGGAAAATCCCTCTTTCTCTGGTTTAAAACTGGCTTCTCTGGCTTGAGCCGAGGCCAGGAAATTCCCTCTTTCTCTGGTTTAAAACTGGCTTCTCTGGCTTGAACCGAGGCCAGGAAATTCCCTCTTTCTCTGGTTTAAAACTGGCTTCTCTGGCTTGAGCCGAGGCCAGGAAATTCCCTCCTTCTCTGGTTTGACACTGGCTTCTCTGGCTTGAGCCGAGGCCAGGAAAATCCCTCTTTCTCTGGTTTAAAACTGGCTTCTCTGGCTTGAGCCGAGGCCAGGAAATTCCCTCCTTCTCTGGTTTAAAACTGGCTTCTCTGGCTTGAGCCGAGGCCAGGAAATTCCCTCCTTCTCTGGTTTGACACTGGCTTCTCTGGCTTGAGCCGAGGCCAGGAAATTCCCTCTTTCTCTGGTTTAAAACTGGCTTCTCTGGCTTGAGCCGAGGCCAGGAAATTCCCTCCTTCTCTGGTTTGACACTGGCTTCTCTGGCTTGAGCCGAGGCCAGGAAATCCCTCTTTCTCTGGTTTAAAACTGGCTTCTCTGGCTTGAGCCGAGGCCAGGAAATTCCTCCTTCTCTGGTTTGACACTGGCTTCTCTGGCTTGAGCCGAGGCCAGGAAATTCCCTCTTTCTCTGGTTTAAAACTGGCTTCTCTGGCTTGAGCCGAGGCCAGGAAATTCCCTCCTTCTCTGGTTTAAAACTGGCTTCTTGGTTTGACACTGGCTTCTCTGGCTTGAGCCGAGGCCAGGAAATTCCCTCCTTCTCTGGTTTAAAACTGGCTTCTCTGGCTTGAGCCGAGGCCAGGAAATTCCCTCCTTCTCTGGTTTGACACTGGCTTCTCTGGCTTGAGCCGAGGCCAGGAAATTCCCTCCTTCTCTGGTTTGACACTGGCTTCTCTGGCTTGAGCCGAGGCCAGGAAATTCCCTCTTTCTCTGGTTTAAAACTGGCTTCTCTGGCTTGAGCCGAGGCCAGGAAATTCCCTCTTTCTCTGGTTTAAAACTGGCTTCTCTGGCTTGAGCCGAGGCCAGGAAATTCCCTCCTTCTCTGGTTTTAAACTGGCTTCTCTGGCTTTAAAACTGGCTTCTCTGGCTTGAGCCGAGGCCAGGAAATTCCCTCCTTCTCTGGTTTAAAACTGGCTTTAAACGGCTGGTTCTGGTTGGAATCACAGCAAACACACAACATACACTAGGCATGGGCCAACTTTGGCCCTCCAGGTGTTTTGGACTCCAACTCCCACAATTCCTAACAGCCTACCGGCTGTTAGGAATTGTGGGAGCTGAAGTCCAAAACACCTGGAGGGAGGGCCAAAGTTGGCCCATGCCTGGCATACTCAAATACCTTACCTCTCACAGGTGAAGCTGGTCATGAAGAAGAGGAAGAAATAGATGACGAAGGTGTAGACCACGGCCACGATCGTGCCCTTCGGGATGGAGCTGCTGGCGTTCTTCAGTTCCCCTGGTCCAAAGGAAGGCCAGGACAAGGTCATCTAACAGTCATGGATTGGGAAAAGGGCACGTTTCCCCACAGATAACCTCAGCCAGCCCCCAAGCTACCCACAAAAGGCTGACCCAGATCTGCAGCTAAAAATTATTATTATTATTATTATTATTATTATTATTATTATTAATGATAAGAGTCAGATGGCATTTGTGTTCTGACTTGGTTGGGACAGCGGATGAGGTTTAGTGAGGATGAAGAAGAGATCGCGAAATGCGCAAAGAGGGTTTTAATGCATTTTGAAAAGTAACTTTAACAACGGAGCTTGGAAATTCTGCAACTGTGAGCTTCACTAGACGAAATGCAGGCATCCCATCCTTTTCAACCACTCCTTTTTCAAAGTTTTATGTTTTAATGGATTCTACCTGGGAATTTTAGAATAGTTTATATTTAATCCTGTTTTAATGTTTGCATATTTTAAATTGTGTGCTAATGCTTTTATGTTAAGCGGTTTCGGGTCTCCTTCGGGGGGAGATAATAATAATAATAATAAGAAGAAGAAGAAGAAGAAGAAGAAGAAGCTAGTAAAGGTGGTCTCAATGGTGACTGGCACACTGGGTACAGTGCCTAAAGACCTTGGCCTGCACTTAAACACAATCAGCACCGCCAAAATTATCATCTGCCAGCTGCAAAAGGCCACCCTACTGGGATCTGCACGCATTATACGCTGATACATTATGCAGTCCTAGACACTTAGGAAGTGTCCGATGTGTGATCCAATACAACAGCCAGCAGAGTGATCATCTAATCACCTCTCAACAAAGATTGCTCCAGGCACTGCCAGGCAATCAAATGCTAATCAAGGTGGTCAGTTGAAACATTCCCACCTAGCTCCAGCAGACAAGAGTGCTTTTTCCCACCCTAGTCTTTCCACAGATATATAAACCCATTTTCCTAGTTCCAACAGACCTCACTACCTCTGAGGACGCTTGCCATAGATGTAGGCGAAATGTCAGGAGAGAATGCCTCTAGACCATGACCATATAGCCCGAAAAAACCTACAACAACCCAGAGTGATCTTGTTTGCTGTGGACTAATTTTGTTGTGTTTCTAATAATAATAATTTCCAAATTAGAATTCAGCTTTGCATTTGGCATCATCTAGTGTTCAGTCTTGTAATTACAAGTTAAAATGGACTTTTCCACCGTTTCCACTTTTGGACCGTGCCCTGGTCCCTAACCCATTTAAGAAAGGGAAGCGTGCAATCTTCAACGCTGAGCATCTGTGTCATAAACTATTCTTGTAACATACATGCCTGGAGCTCTAGGAGTAGTACAACCTCCTCACCTGACATGTTGGAGCCTGCCATGATCCCTGTGCATCCGTTGAACATGACGGCAAAGACGGTGGCGAAGGACATCATGTTGTTTGTGGTGTAATCGCGAGCGTACATGGCTGCAAAGGGAGGAAGAGGAGGAGAAGAAGAGACCAGGGAGAAGGAGATGGATGGGGAAAGAAAGAAAAGGAAATCCTCAACCTTCAGTTATATCAGGCATGGGCCAACTAGGGCCTTCCCTCCAGGTGTTTTGGACTCCCAACTCCCATAACGTGGGTATGCAGATGACCCTTTGAATGACTTAAGTGTCAAGTTCCAAGGGGACAAAGACATGGGCCAACTAGGGCCTTCCCTCCAGGTGTTTTGGACTCCCAACTCCCATAACGTGGGTATGCAGATGATCCTTTGATTGACTTAAGTGTCCAGTTCCAAGGGGACAAAGACATGGGCCAACTAGAGCCTTCCCTCCATGTGTTTTGGACYCCCATCTCCCATAACGTGGGTATGCAGATGACCCTTTGATTGACTTCAGTGTCCACTTCCAAGGGGACAAAGACATGGGCCAACTAGAGCCTTCCCTCCATGTGTTTTGGACCCCCAACTCCCATAACGTGGGTATGCAGATGACCCTTTGATTGACTTAAGTGTCCAGTTCCAAGGGGACAAAGACATGGGCCAACTAGAGCCTTCCCTCCAGGTGTTTTGGACYCCCAACTCCCATAACGTGGGTATGCAGATGATCCTTTGATTGACTTAAGTGTCCACTTCCAAGGGGACAAAGACATGGGCCAACTAGAGCCTTCCCTCCATGTGTTTTGGACCCCCAACTCCCACAACGTGGGTATGCAGACGACCCTTTGATTGACTTAAGTGTCCAGTTCCAAGGGGACAAAGACATGGGCCAACTAGAGCCTTCCCTCCAGGTGTTTTGGACCCCCAACTCCCACAACGTAGGTATGCAGATGATCCTTTGATTGACTTAAGTATCTAGTTCCAAGGGGACAAAGACATGGGCCAACTAGGGCCTTCCCTCCAGGTGTTTTCGACCCCCAACTCCATTAACGTGGGTATGCAGATGATCCTTTGATTGACTTAAGTGTCCAGTTCCAAGGGGACAAAGACATGGGCCAACTAGGGCCTTCCCTCCAGGTGTTTTGGACCCCCAACTCCATTAACGTGGGTATGCAGATGATCCTTTGATTGACTTAAGTGTCCAGTTCCAAGGGGACAAAGACATGGGCCAACTAGAGCCTTCCCTCCAGGTGTTTTGGACCCCCAACTCCCATAACGTGGGTATGCAGATGATCCTTTGATTGACTTAAGTGTCCAGTTCCAAGGGGACAAAGACATGGGCCAACTAGAGCCTTCCCTCCATGTGTTTTGGACCCCCATCTCCCATAACGTGGGTATGCAGATGACCCTTTGATTGACTTCAGTGTCCAGTTCCAAGGGGACAAAGACATGGGCCAACTAGAGCCTTCCCTCCAGGTGTTTTGGACTCCCAACTCCCATAACGTGGGTATGCAGATGATCCTTTGATTGACTTAAGTGTCCAGTTCCAAGGGGACAAAGACATGGGCCAACTAGAGCCTTCCCTCCATGTGTTTTGGACCCCCAACTCCCACAACGTGGGTATGCAGACGACCCTTTGATTGACTTAAGTGTCCAGTTCCAAGGGGACAAAGACATGGGCCAACTAGAGCCTTCCCTCCAGGTGTTTTGGACCCCCAACTCCCACAACGTAGGTATGCAGATGATCCTTTGATTGACTTAAGTATCTAGTTCCAAGGGGACAAAGACATGGGCCAACTAGGGCCTTCCCTCCAGGTGTTTTCGACCCCCAACTCCATTAACGTGGGTATGCAGATGATCCTTTGATTGACTTAAGTCTCCACTTCCAAGGGGACAAAGACATGGGCCAACTAGGGCCTTCCCTCCAGGTGTATTGGACCCCCAACTCCATTAACGTGGGTATGCAGATGATCCTTTGATTGACTTAAGTGTCCACTTCCAAGGGGACAAAGACATGGGCCAACTAGGGCCTTCCCTCCAGGTGTTTTGGACCCCCAACTCCCACAACGTGGGTATGCAGATGATCCTTTGATTGACTTAAGTGTCCAGTTCCAAGGGGACAAAGACATGGGCCAACTAGAGCCTTCCCTCCATGTGTTTTGGACTCCCATCTCCCATAACGTGGGTATGCAGATGACCCTTTGATTGACTTCAGTGTCCACTTCCAAGGGGACAAAGACATGGGCCAACTAGAGCCTTCCCTCCATGTGTTTTGGACCCCCAACTCCCACAACGTGGGTATGCAGATGACCCTTTGATTGACTTAAGTGTCCAGTTCCAAGGGGACAAAGACATGGGCCAACTAGAGCCTTCCCTCCAGGTGTTTTGGACCCCCAACTCCCACAACGTGGGTATGCAGATGATCCTTTGATTGACTTAAGTATCTAGTTCCAAGGGGACAAAGACATGGGCCAACTAGGGCTCTCCCTCCAGGTGTTTTGGACCCCCAACTCCATTAATGTGGGTATGCAGATGATCCTTTGATTGACTTAAGTGTCCAGTTCCAAGGGGACAAAGACATGGGCCAACTAGAGCCTTCCCTCCAGGTGTTTTGGACCCCCAACTCCCATAACGTGGGTATGCAGATGACCCTTTGATTGACTTCAGTGTCCAGTTCCAAGAGGACAAAGACATGGGCAAACTAGGGCTCTCCCTCCAGGTGTTTTGGACTCCCAACTCCCATAACGTGGGTATTCAGATGATCCTTCGATTGACTTAAGTGTCCAGTTCCAAAGGCACAAAGACATGGACCAACTAGGACCTTCCCTCCAGGTGTTTTGGACCCCCAACTCCCATAACGTAGGTATGCAGATGATACTTCGATTGACTTAAGTGTCCAGTTCCAAGGGGACAAAGACATGGGCCAACTAGGGCCCTCCTTCTAGGTGTTTTGGACTCCCAACTCCCATAACATGTGTATGCAGATGATCCTTTGATTGACTTGAGTGTCCAGTTCCAAGGGGACAAAGACATGGGCCAACTAGGGCCTTCCCTCCAGGTGTTTTGGACCCCCAACTCCCATAATGTGGGTATGCAGATGACCCTTTGATTGACTTAAGTGTTCAGTTCCAAGGGAACAAAGACATGGGCCAACTTCAGCCCTCCTTCCAGGTGTCTTGGACACCAACTCCCACAATGTGGAGATGCAGATGACCCCTTGGTTGACTTAAGTGTCCAGTTCCAAGAGGACAAAGCCATAGGGCCTTCCCTACAGGTGTTTTGGGCTGTTAGGAATTATGGGAGTTGGAGTCCTGGAGGGTGGGCCCAAGTTGGCCCATGTCTTTGTCCCCTTGGAACTTCACACTTAAGTCAATCAAGAGATCATCTGCATACCCACGTTATGGGAGCTGAAGTCCAAAAGAGCTGGAGGGAAGACCCAAGTTGGCCCATGCTCAATATAGATGTGCCTCAAGACAGCTTCACATTGCCTACCTACCGTAGAGGTTGTCCCGGAGAGTGGAGATGTTGAATCCGGTGAAGGAGGCATTGAAGCTGTGGTTGCCATCACGGGAAATGGAGATCTCCCTGGGGGAGACGGCGAAGAAGCTGGCAAAGATGGTGACCAGGACCAGGTTGACCACCAGGAAGATGAAGAAGGCAGCCCGGGAGTAGATGTGGGAACCCACCAGGCAGACCAGCAGGCAGAGGAAGAGCACCACTGAGCCATACAGGAAGCTGTACAGGTAGCCCTGGGGCAGGGCCTTCGAGCCTGGCGGCACTGACCCATCTGCCAGGGAGGAAAGGACAGGATAAGTGCATGTCAGGTGCTCCAAACCTTGCATGGACCGCCATATCTCATCACAACCACAATCTGCAGAAATACTTCACTTTTCTTGGAGCAATGAAGCTTCTCACGTGGGGTTGGACTACAGGTCCCTCACTCTGTATGAGTCCTACAAGACCTCGAGTAGGCATCACTCTTGTTTAGCTTGACCAATAGAATCTGGGGATTGATTAATATGCCTCTGACATTTTCCCCAAAATTGGTACTGACAACTGGATGGAGTCTTGGGTGAGAACGAGATTCCTCTCCAGATGTTGTTGGACTGCAACATCCGTAAGCTCCTAGCCAGTATGGTCAGGGGTGAGGAATTTTTGGGGTATTGGAACCCAACAATGCTTGGATCCTGGGATAGATAGATCTGTTGATTGATAAGCCCACTGACCATAGGATCCTGGGAGTTATTGTCCAAAGAAAGGGACTTCTCTGAATCGACGCTCACCTGCTCCAAAGTCATCCAGAATGGCTTCGACCAGCCCCAGGACGTAAACCCCACAGGCGCAAACGTTGGCCAGGTAGAACATCAGGCCGATGCTCCCTCCGAACTCGGGGCCCAGCGTCCGGCTGATCATGACTGAAGAAAGAGGCAGTTAAGGCCATATTTCCAAAGAGGAAAAAGAGGAACTGGCATGCCTGTTGCACTCTGATCTTGAGACACCTTTTCACCCAGCACCACCCCAAAGTCCAGTAGGACTTCCTTGGAGACTAGGACGTGGAACAATGGCTTCAAACTACAAGAGAGGAGATTCCATCTGAACATGAGGAAGAACTTCCTGACTGTGAGAGCCGTTCAGCAGTGGAACTCTCTGCCCCGGAGTGTGGTGGAGGCTCCTTCTTTGGAAGCTTTTAAACAGGGGCTGGATGGCCATCTGTCAGGGGTGATTTGAATGCAATATTCCTGCTTCTTGGCAGAATGGGGTTGGACTGGATGGCCCAGGAGGTCTCTTCCAACTCTTTGATTCTAGGATTCTATGATTCTATGACTAACTACAGAAGTTGATTAAGAAAAGCATGTACAAAGGGAAAAGGAAATGCAAAATAGCAGCAATCCAATAATGGCAAAGTACATGAAGTCAAGAGAGCCAAGATCTCAACCACAAATCCATAAGCATGAAAGCAGGAACATTTTCCAAGGTAAACCCTTCCAGGAACATAGGCAAACACAAGAAACTTGAATCATGAACTTGAGAGTCGAGACAGGAGCACCATCCTTATGGCAACGTTGTCTCCTCTGAGAGACACCAAGTAAACACCACTTCATTTAAGCCCAGACATGACCAAAAAGTCATGAGATCGTGCCGAACGCAGCTGGGCTTCAAGGACTTCTCATGGAATCCCTCAGAACGTCAAATTAATCTATCTGTCCAAATGGATCTCCCTCTACGTCCCGCCTCGGAGTTTAAGATCTTCTGGGGAGGCCCTGCTCTCGGCCCCGCCTCTATCACAAGTGAGATTGGCGGGGACGAGGAGCAGGGCCTTCTCGGTGGTGGCCCCTCACCTATGGAATTCACTCCCCAGGGAAATTAGATCATCGTCATCCCTCCTTTTCTTTAGAAGGAAATTAAAAACATGGATTTGGGACCAGGCGTTTCGGCAATCTGGCAGATAAATAAAGGACAACGACGACTGATAGGAATGGAAAATGTGGAATGAAGTATGGACTCTGAGTTGCGAACGTTGAGCATGAGATTGGTTTTATTGACTGTGATATATATTGATTGTTTTTAACTGTTATAACTGTTTTAATTGCTGTCTATATATTTTTATCTTATTGTTTGTGTTGCCATCGAATTGTGACTTTTGTAAGCCGCCCTGAGTCCCCCCTTGGGGGTTGAGAAGGGCGGGGTAGAAGTACACGAAATAAATAAATAATAATAATCTTTCACTCCCTCCATTCAGAGACCTAATCTGGTTTCACGGGAAAACTCCCCATCGGCCGAAGACCATTTACCAAGAGAACGAAAATCTTCACTTTCTATTGCTTGTGAATGAGCACAGGAATCCCAAACAGAGGCCTCCTCAGCCTGCAATTCTCTCGGATCACTAGCAGACTCGTCACTTTGAAATGCATCTGATGTCCTCTGAAACATCAGAAAAATCCCCAGCTTGTGGCTAAGCCACAACAATGCCTCCCACGATCACCGGAGACTGACTTCTGTTCAAGGGCCAAAATCAGAACCTCCATTTTGAGTCACAGTCTATCTGCAATGACTGGACTCAGCCGGAGCCAGCTCATCTCCCTGTTTTGGGGTCTGGGGAAGGTCTGGCCTCACACACGAAATCACAGAAGGATACAGTAGGCACCTCCAGCTTGGACGGCCCCGTTGGTGGAGATGGCGCAGACGGAGAGGACGGTCAGCGAGATGATGAGATAGGCCACCACCAGCATCAGGAGGGACTGCAGGAAGCCAGCGTGACCCACCACGAACCCTGTGAGGAGGAGACAGGACACATTTGGATGTCAGACACTGATTGGCTTGGCAAGGCGGATGGACACTGGTGGGTTCACCTTTGCCAAACCTAGGCTGATAGAGCCTCTTTCCACACTGCGGAGGGCAAAGTGAAGTCCTTGACCCTTCCAGGCTCTGGCCAAAAACGAAGGAAGGAAGGAAGGAAGGAAGGAAGGAAGGAAGGAAGGAAGGAAGGAAGGAAGGAAGGAAGGAGGAAAACTGGGTTGTTGTAGGTTTTTTCAGGGTATAAGGCCATGTTCTAGAGGCATTTCTCCTGACGATGTTCTAGAAGTCCTTGAAGCCCAGGTGCGTTCGGCACGATCTCATGAGTTCTTGGTCAGGCTTGGGCTTAAATGAAGGAGGAAAACTGCTTCAACCAGAAGTGGCAATTCAACTGTTAAATACGTTAGACAGGTTAGCTCAAGCATGGGCAAACTTGAAAGAAGGAGGGAAGGAGAAAAGGAAAGAAAGAAAGGTAGAGAAGGAAGGAAGGAGAGAAGGAAATAAAAAGTGAAAGAGAACAAAAGGGAGAAAGAGGGAGGGAAGGAAGGAAGGAAAGAGACAAGGAAGGATGGAACCAAAGAGCTAAGGAAGCGAGAAAAGAAACAGGTAGAGAAGAAAAATAGTAGGGAAAGAAAACAAGGGAAGGAAGGAAAGAGAAAAAGAAAGAAGGAGAGAAAGAGGCACATTTTGGCAGTCAATCACGCAAGGCCTCCCCTGCAGATTTAGTAGCTCAAGTTACATGTCAAAAATGAGGGCGTGTTGGAGACCCCCAGGATCCCTCCACTCACCGACACGCATGAAGACCACGATGCTGAACATGGAGAGGACGGTGGGCACAATGACCCCAAAGAAGGTGGAGAGCTGCCTGGCTGGGTCAGGGTGGGGGCCCCCGGAGCCACCCATGACCCCCACCACCAGGGGGGCCTCTTCCTGAGTGGCCCCCGGCATCTCCCCTTCACCCCAGACGCGGAAGAGGCGGTAGCTGAGCAGAGGGGAGCTCTCCGTAGACATGGAGGTCAGACGGTGGCGGCGGTGGTGGCGGGGGCCCCCCGGTTACCTAGGGGGAGAGAAGGAGGCACAGGTGAGGCAAGGAGGGCGGCCAGGGGGGCTTCTGCCCAATGGCCAGAGAACATGTAGCCCAAACCCAGCCAGTGTCCTCCCCAAAGACGACGGCCCACCACCTAAGGAATGCTTTCATTCGGGGACCATTTCATCCTAGATTTGAGGTGTTTCCTGCATCACAGGTAGGCATCCCAGGGTTCCTGTCTCTCTCCATTGGCGTGGAATTTGCATGACCCCCCTGCTCACTGCCTCTCCCTTAACTGCTTTCGTTTGGGGACAATTCTATCCTAGATTTGAGGTGTTTCCTCCACCACAGGTAGGCATCCCAGGGTTCCTTTCTCTCTCCATTGGTGTGGAACTTGCATGAGGCCCACTGCCTCTCCCTTAACTGCTTTCATTTGGGGACAATTCCATCCTAGATTTGAGGTGTTTCCTCCACCACAGGTAGGCATCCCAGGGTTCCTTTCTCTCTCCATTGGTGTGGAATTTGCATGACTCCCACCCACCCACTGCCTCTCTCTTAACCCTTTCCTACACTTTCTCATGGCACACAGAAAACAGAGAGGATTTGATCTGCAACTGAACAGATTGGAGGGCTTTGGGGGTCTGACTCAATGGGATGGAAGTTGTAGTTCACTCTGACCCCCTTCGATAAGGGACTTGGACCACATTTGGCTCACAGAACCCCCATGACCAGGTTTGGGGGAATTGACCTTGATGTATAGGAGTTGTAGTTCACCTACATCCAGAGATCACTGTGAACCAAGCAACAATGGATCTGGATTAAACTTGCTATGGATGATGGGACTTGAAGTACCTTCACTCACTTTCAGAAACCACTGTAACCCCCACGCATGACGGACTTAGACCAAACTTGACACACAGTCTCTCCATGATGCAATTTATGTCCTGATGAGGGTTGGGGGAGGATGGACCAGGGCTGATGGGATTTGCAGTACCTCCACTCACTTCCAGAAATCCACCTCGACCCAATTTGGCACACAGACTCCCTATGATGTCCTTTATGTCCTGGTGACCCCCACGCATGATGGACCTAGACCAAACTTGACACAGTCCCTCCATGATGAAATTTATGTCCTGGTGAGGGTTGTGGGAGGATGGACCACAGACGATGGGATTTGCAGAAACTTCAACCACTTCCACAGACCAATAAGACCCCCACAAATGATGCGCCTGGACCAAACCTGGGACACCAAACCCCCATAACTAACAGAATATACTGGAGGGGTCTTGGGAACTGACCCATCTGCATGGGAATTGTAGTTCACCCTGCACCCAGAGCATTCTGAAGCACCTAATGGTGGATCTGGAACACATGTGGTACACAGAACCCTGATGGCCAACAGAACATACTGGGGAGCGGGGGGAAATGACCCACCTGCATGGGAGTTGTCCACTTCACCTGCATCCAGGTGAAGTGGACCCTGCCAATGTTGGATCTGGACCCAACATGGTCAACTGTAAATACTGGCAGGGTTTGGAGGTTACTACCCTTGGCTTCTGGGAGCTGTAGTTCTCCCTTATCCAGAGAGCACTGAACCAAGTCAACGACAGATCTGAACCATCCTTGACACACAGACCCAACATGGCCAGCTGTGCATAGAGGACTGTTTTGGGGAGGATTGACCCACGACTCTGGGAATTGTAGTTCTCCCACATGGTTATGTATTTTCTAATGGGAGCATTCATAATAAACACAGTCAAAGACTGGCTTTGAGATGGTTGAACAGAACTCTCTGAAGCTCTAGGTGCTCTTACTGCCTACTGCAGGGAATACCAGCTGATCCCTAATCCATCTAAAACACAGACATGTGCCTTTCATCTCAAGAACAGACAAGCATCCCCAGCTCTGAGGATTATCACCTGGGAAGGAAGGAATCCCACTGAAGCATTGCAGCCCACCCACATACCTGGGAGTCACTCTGGACCATTCTCTGACCTACAAGAAGCACTGCCTGAACATCAAGCAAAAAGTCGGGTGCTAGAAACAATATCATACAAAAGCTGACTGGCACAACCTGGGGATCACAACCAGACACAGTGAAGACATCTGCCCTTGCGCGATGCTACTCTGCTGCTGAGTATGCATGCCCAGTGTGGAACACATCTCACCACACTAAAACAGTGGATGTGGCTCTTAATGAGACATGCCGCATTATCACAGGGTGTCTGCGCCCCACACCACTGGAGAAATTACACTGCTTAGCCGGTATTGCACCACCTGACATCCGCCGGGAAGTGGCAGCCAATAGTGAAAGGACCAAGGCAGAGACATCTCCAGCTCATCCCCTGTTTGGGTATCAGCCAGCACGTCAACGACTTAAATCAAGAAATAGTTTTCTAAGATCTACAGAGATACTCGCTGGGACACCACAGCAAGCAAGAGTCCAAAAGTGGCAGGCTCAAACCCAGAACCTCAACCAATGGCTGATACCAAAGGAGAGACTCCTCCTGGGCACACAGAAGACTGGGCGACTTGGAAGGCTCTGAACAGACTGCGCTCTGGCACCACGAGATGCAGAGCCAACCTCAAGAAATGGGGCCACAAAGTGAATCCACGACATGCGAGTGTGGAGAAGAGCAAACCACTGACCACCTGATGCAATGCACCCTGAGCCCTGCCACATGCACAATGGAGGACCTTCTTGCGGCAACACCAGAGGCACTCCAAGGGGCCAGATACTGCTCAAAGGACATTTAAACAACTACCAAACTCACAAATTTTGTATTTTGTCTGTTTGTTTTGTTCTGTTAGAAATGTAATACAATTGACTGGTTGCCCTGACACGACAAATAAATTTCTAATAAATATTGTTACTTGTTCACTAAATGATATGACCGAACACCTCCATTTGGTATTTGGGCCAAATTTGGTCCAGTGAATGAAAACATATCCTGCACATTCCGATATTTACATTACAATTCATAACAGTAGTATAATTAGGGTTAGGAAGTCACAACGGAAATTTATGGTTGGGGGTCAACACAACATGGGGTCACAGCATTCGGAAGGTTGAGAAACATTGATCTAGGGCACTTGAGCTGCATCTTCATGCCTGGCAGATGGGGGTTGGACTACATGACCCTTTGGGGACCCCTTCCAACCCTTTCCTTTGAGAGTTGGAGCCCTTGTCTCTACCTTTTGCGGCTCTATCGGTGGTGCTGGCGACTGACAGCTTGCCTGGCTCTGAAAGCGGATTTGGGGATCACAAGACGAGCCTCTCTCGTTCGGGACGGGAAAGTGAACGCCAGGGAGTCACATGAGCGTGACATGTTGGGAGCCTGAGAACGAGGGACGACTTCCTGTCTGGCTCTGCTTGTCAATCACGCTCCTCTCGCCCTCCGGACAAAGGCGGCAGAGGCAGCGATGCAGAGATGCTCCATCATGCGGTAGTGGAAGGGTCAAGGGCACACAAAGCCGGACTGAGAAGTGACAATGCTGCATCGACACCAAGCCTGGACCAACTTAGGCCCTCCCTCCAGGTGTTTTGGACTCCAACTCCCATAATTCCTAACAGCCGGTAGGCTGTTAGGAATTGTGGGAGCTGGAGTCCAAAACAACTGGAGGGAGGGCCCAAGTTGGCCCATGACTTTGCCCTCTTAGATGTGGACACTTAAGTCAACCAAGAGGTCATCTGCATACCCATGTTAGACTCCCACAACATGGGTATGCAGATGACTCCTGGTTGACTTAAGTGTCCACATCTAAGAGGACAAAAGTCTTGGGCCAACTTGGGCCCTCCCTCCAGGTGTCCAAAACATCTGGAGAGGGGGCCCAAATTGGCCCATGCCTTTGTCCTCTTAGATGTGGACACTTAAGTCAACCAAGGGGTCATTTGCATCCCCATGTTGTGGGAGTTGGTGTCCAAAACACCTGGAAGGAGGCCCAAGTTGGCCCATGCCTTTGTCCTCTTGGAATTGCATCAAGGGGTCATCTGCATACCCATGTTGTGGGAGTTGGAGTCCAAAACACCTGGAGGGAGGGCCCAAGTTGGCCCATGCCTTTGTCCTCTTGGAATGGGAGACTCAAGTCAACCAATGGGTCATCTGCACCCCCATGTTGTGGGTGTTAAAGTCCAAAACACCTGGAGGGAGGGCCCAAGTTGGCCCATGACTTTGTCCTCTTAGAGGTGGACACTCAAGTCAACCAAGGGGTTATCTGCATACCCATGTTATGGGAGTTAGAGTCCAAAACACCTGGAGGGAGGCCCAAGTTGGCCCATGCCTTTGTCCTCTTGGAATGGGACACTCAAGTCAACCAAGGAGTCATCTGCATACCCATGTTATGGGAGTTGGAGTCCAAACCATCTGGAGAGAGGGCCCAAGTTGGCCCAGGCCTTTGTCCTCTTAGAAGTGGACACTTAAGTCAACCAAGGGGTCATCTGTATCCCCATGTTGTGGGAGTTGGAGTCCAAAACACCTGGATAGAAGGCCCAAGTTGGTGCATGCCTTTGTCCTCTTAGATGTGGACACTTACATCAACCAAGGGGTCATCTGCATACCCACATTGTGGGTAATGAAGTCCAAAACACCTGGAGGGAGGGCCCAAGTTGGCCTATGGCTTTGCCCTCTTGGAACTGGACACTCAAAGTCAAGCAAGGGATCATCTGCATCCCCATGTTGTGGGAGTTGGAGTCTGAAACACCTGGAGGGAGGGCCCAAGTTGGCCCAGGCCTTTGTGCTCTTAGATGTGGACACTTAAGTCAACCAAGGCGTCACCTGCATCCCCATGTTTTGGGAGGTGAAGACCAAAACACCTGGAGAGAGGGCCCAAGTTGACCCATGCATTTGTCTTTTTGGAATGGGACACTTAAAGTCAACCAAGGGGTCATCTGCATCCCCATGTTGTGGGAGTTGGCCCATGCCTTTGTCCTCTTGGAACTGGACACTCAAGTCAACCAAGGGATCACTTGCATCCCCAAATTGTGGAAGTTGCAGTCCAAAATACCTG